CCTTGTCTCATCAACTGTACACTGCTAGCTGGTCCATGGCCAAGGCCAACTCGAGATGATATGCTTGTAGCAATGCCTTATTATTATTTTTTTAATAATGAATGACTAATTAGTTTTTCTATATAATGAATGCATGATTAATTAAGATGTACCACTCCATCCACAAATATAACTTGTCCATGTTTTATAACCAAAATTGTTGTTTTACTGATATATCTAATGGTATAAGCAAAATTCTATTTTATAATTTAATGGTTTGTATCTTTTATACTACCACTTCGATCAACTAGTATCAAAATAGTTTTTTTTTTCACCGATAGTACAACCCAAAATCAATGGTTGAGATTTCACACTTTTACCGGTGATAATACAAGCAATACTTAGTAGAGATCACTGTAAATGTATTCGAGTCAAAAGGTCCAGATTCATAATAAAGAAAATCTTTATATTTATAGATGGAGGTAGTATATAAGTAAAGTTTAACCTTTGAAATTGTTGCTGAATTGTTATCGCCATTCCAAAATGGTCATGTATCATATTCGTGTTACATCTCGCTGTTGATACTTGATCTTTTTTTGTTGTTGAGAGCAATTATCTAAGCCACTTCGATCCTCAGATTCTGAATTGAACTGCCACTTCGACACTCTTTGAGGATTAATTCTGGATGCATATGGTAAGCTAGCTCCATTGGTGACATCCACTAGGGGTTTGGGGATCTTTTATCTGCCGCAGCTTCTCTCAGAATTAGAAGCTTCCCCAAACAGTACAACTTTTGATCTAGATTCTAAAAAGTTATAGCTATAGAATCTAGAAAATGAAGAAGTCAAAAGCTGAAAAATCCAGCTTTTCCAGATTCTTAGAAACTAGCTACCAACTCACAGCTTTTCGGAATCTTAAGCTCTCCAAAACAGGCCTTAGGACGTACTGAAAAGACTGCCTTAAGTGTTCACAAACAAAGGGTGTGTTTAGTTCACGCCAAAATTGTAAGTTTGGTTGAAATTAGAATAATGTGACGGAAAAATTAGAAGTTTGTGTGTGTAGGAAAGTTTTGATGTGATGAAAAAGTTGAAAGTTTGAAGAAAAAATTTGTAACTAAACTCGGCCAAAGTGTTTTTTTTTTCTCAATAGGAAGCCCGGTCTGGTCCTCTACAGTGAGCCCGGCAGGTTCTGAGAATTCAGACTTCAGGGATGCATGGAGAGGCATGGAGCTGTTCACAGTACATGCACCGATGGCCGATCTCAGAGTATCAATCAGACCATGCACGCATCAACGCTGCAAAAGTGTAGTAGCGCCGACTAATTAATCGTACAGAAACCCTACGGAAATGTCACGAGAAGGTCGCTGATCAAAGTGCACAAATAATTCATTCTTTTCTGAATTTCCTGCTGGTCTTATTGGGGAAAATTTTTGGATTTAATTATCACATCGGATATACGGATACATATTTAAAGTATTAAACATAGTGTAATAACAAAACAAATTACAGATTCAACCAGAAAACCGCGAGACAAATTTATTAAGCCTAATTAATATATCATTAGCAAATGTTTACTGTAGCATCACATTTATCAAATCATGATGCAATTAGGTTTAAAAGATTCATCTCATAATTTACACGTAGATTTTGTAATTGGTTTTTTTTTATATTTAATACTTTATGTATGTATGCAAGCATTCGATATGATGGGTAAAAAGTTTTTTAAAAAAACTAAACAAGGCCTTAAGTGCTTTGACGAAACCTACTTGTTTAGGTTTAAGTGGCAAACATAATAGTCGCCATCCCTACGTCATAGGGGTTTGAAAAGAGAGACTCTCCGCTCGACAAAAGCCACGTATAAGTCATAAAGCTTATTAGTGATAAACATATTTTATGAATAAAAAAATCATATACGTGTTTTTAAATGACTAGAAACTAATTTAAAAAAGAAACCACGATAAAAAAAATTGAAATCGATATCAAAATTAAGTTTTAAATCGATATCAAAACCTCGTCTTTTCGCTTATGCTTATCAGCCAAAATTTAAAATTTCAACATTAAATTTAGAGCTGATTCTGAGATTTTTTTTCATCAAAGTTAATTTTTCAGCCTTTGCTTTTGGATTGCTAAAAACACGTACATAAATGTTTTATTCACAAATTACTTTTTATTTATAAATATGCCGTTTGGCTCATTCCACGCCGTGAATAGCGAACGGATCCACCTTTCTCTGCTGCGAGCAATGTATATGCGTGTGTATCCAAATAGCTTTTTTTTTGTTGCCTCCTTTTCTGAAAGGCGAAGGGAACGAAACGGACACGCGAGGACAGGGACGCACGGACAGACACACCCGGGCCGGCCAGGCCGAGGCGAGGCGCCCCACAGCTTCGGCTAGCACACAGCACTTGTGGCGCTTGACAACACACGGCCCACACCCCCCACCTCCTCGACTGTTTCTGCTTCTGTTTACTCCGACGAATCGCAACATCGATCTCGTCTCGCGTAGCGTCAGCTGAGCTGCTCGTGTAGTAATTTCGAGTCGGATCCGTGGAAACGAATGATGAATTTTTTTTTTCGTGGTACGATATGCGATGCGACCAGATCGGTCCACTGCTGTCGCTTCCTCCCTGTTCCTACGCACCGGAGGAGCGAGACCCCGCATCACCCGTCTGTTTACTGGTGTGTAAGATGTAAGAGCCCCATCGGTTGGCCTAATAAATCAAAGAAAAAAACCTAAAGTTTAAATTTTCAAATTTGATTTTAAGATATATTTAATGTAAATTTTTTAGCGTTGGCTTTTAAGTGGCTACAAATAAATATGTAAAAGTTCTAAGTATAAACTAATTTTAATTCGTTAATAAGCCGTTTTGATTTATTAGGAAATATGAACAACCGATGAGACTTTAAGTTGTAATTTAAATTTTAATTCCATAGTTAGTTTTGTTTTCCTCGTACTCCCTCCATCCCATAATATAAGACGTGCACAAATTTCAAGATTCAACATTTAAAACATTTGACTAACACTTAGTATAATATAAAATAAATTTTATTTGTTAAAAATTATATCATTAGATTGATATTTAAATTTACTTTCATATGGTTATAATTTTGTTGCTGCAAATCTTATAGGATATGAGAAATTATAAGTAAAAGATTATTCTTAGAAACCGTAACAATTTTGACCGTGCTTTATATTATAGGATAGAGGGAGTAGTATATTATTTTTTTTATTACCTTTCGAGACACTGATAACACAACTATTAAAGTTTACTCCACCTGTCCTAAAAACACTCAACCGAAGTGGATGTGACTTCTTCTGTAACAATGAATCTGGACTAACCTTTGTAGGTTGAGTTTATTTTTTCAGAGGGAGTAGGTTATAAATTATATTTTCTTAGGTTTTTTTACTGTTTATCTGTTGAGAGCTTAACATAATTTATATGTAAAACTTTGTTTTTAGCGTTTAAAAGGGCTAAAACCAAGAATACACTGGGGAAGCAACTCTAAAATTAATTAAAATTAAGTTTTAAAATTAAAATTTAAGTTATGACCGGTAAGCCATCAAATAGACGGCGAGAAGCACAGTATTCTGGCGCGCGCGTGCCCGTGTGTCACGGTATTACTAGTGAGAAACGCTGAATGTTTTTCTTCTTTTTTCAGCGGGTGAAATTATTCAAACATCGTGAAAAAATCTGAACGCTTTTCAGGGTGACCTACTAGTTAGAAATCAGGTGACGTTGGTAAAAGAATTCTGAACTTTAACCCGAGTTTCAAGGTCGTCCGTTCGCGCAAGAATTTTTCTTCTTTTCTTCTTTTTTTTTTTTTTTGCCGACTTGTGCGGCCGCGAGACATTGCCGGACGACGAGGCAGCCGGTGGTGGCCGTCCACAGTCGCCGCCCGCGCGACGTGTGGCATGTACTCGCCACGACGAGACGAGCGGCAGGGGCGCACGAGATTTGGCCGTGCGTTGCTCTGCTTTGTTTGACTGTTCCGATGTCGGAGCCGATGAGATATTTTTCTTCCCAGTACGGCTATACGAACGATTTAGGTGGCGTTTGCAAGATGAGGATAAGGATAAATATTAAGTTTTACGTAAAATGGGGTGGTAATAACGTGTGATTAATTGAGTTTTAATTATTATAAATTTGAAAAATCGATTAATCTGATATTTTAGAACAACTTTCATATAGAAAGTTTCCGCACGAAACACACCGTTTAGCAGCTTGAAAAGTGTGCCATGAGTATCTAAAATTTTATCTAATTTTTGTTGGAGAAAAGAACATGGGCCTTAATTGTATAATTCATACCATCGTTGATCAGATTCAGTTGTAAGTGAGTTCGGATAATTGGGATGTATTGTATAATTTTTTTTCTTTTTTTTCCCTCTCCCTATTCGTTGTGACATGTGAGGTGAGGTGAATGGAATTGCTGGGCGTGCAGTTCGGATGGCTGTTCAACGGTCCAGCCCAAATGTGACAGCGGGCGTTGGCCCAAGGTTAGGAAGCCCAATAGGAGAGAGAGAGAGTTTGGTGAACTAACTGGGCTGGGATCTCGTTTTGCCTATGCCGGCCCGGGGTACTCTAGATTGCAGATGAACATTTGAGTTTTTCTTTTTTTTCCAATTACAAGAAAACACACGCACACCACGGGTACGCAAAGGTAAAAAGATCTGTTTGGGTAGTTTAATTGGGTCTGTTCCACAGGCTGGCTGCGGCTGTGTGTGGCACTGTTGGTGCCGGCTGTGCCGCAGATCAGGCAGCCCAACACGCGCATTGCAGGTTGCAACGGTAGCTGCGCTGCGGCAACAAAACCAGAACGAATTGTGCCGTGTGCTCGCTGAAGTGCAGCCACAACGCTGCTGCAGCCCGGTTTATTTGTTCTTTTCTATCACATAGTTTGTATAATCATATCACCTAACTTTAATAGTGTAGATTGCTAATTTATCATATTATTATGGCTTTACCAAATTTTAGTAGGGAGAAAAACAAACCAAAAAGGAGTGGCGTCAATGGGCACGAAAAAAAATATCACAGTCTAACCAAAGCTAGCTGACTAGTAGTATTGCATAAACTCAAGTGCTCATCTGAAAAGCACCAGGCGATCAGATGCAGTTGTTGAAGAAAGAAAGTAAAAAAAGAAAAAAAAAAGAGAAAAGGCTGAAGCTAATTTAAGCATAGTCTAAGAGCAGCACTAATTGCAAAAATCAAACACTAAGAACAAGAACTGATCGTTATACTTATCATGGTAACATTAATTAATTAATTAATTAACCTAAGCATATGAATATAAAAGCTCCTAAAACTGCTCTTCTTTTTTTATTATTTATCTACAGTTGATTCCCCAGCGACACCCTGCTCATCGCCTGCTGATACACCGCCGCGCCGCGCCCCGCGCCGGCGACGGCGGCGGCGGGCCGCATCGCCTCCTGCTTCACCTCCGCCTTGGGGACCACCACCGCCTCCATGCCGCCGCCCTGGCGGTGCCTCAGCAGCGAGTGCACCGACGGCGGCGCCAGCATCGGGTACTTGAGCCCCTCCACCACGCCGCCGAGCCCCGCCACCGCCAGCGCCGACGCCGACGGCGGCGGGGGCGGGGGCGGCGGCAGGCCCCGCAGCGCCGGCGACGGCGCGTGGCCGAGCGAGTAGGGGAAGTTGCTCATCGGCGCGAGCGGGTCCCTCGGCGGCGGCGGCGGCAGGTGCAGGCCGAAGTGGGGCGGGAACGGCGCCGCGCCGCAGCCGCCGCCGAGCCTCATCAGGCTCTCCTGCACCGACGGCACCTCCGGCCTGCGCCCGCCGACGCCGACGCCGTGGGGCTGCGACGACGACCCCGCGCCGCCGCCGGGCGAAGCCGAGCCCGCCGGGTGGCCGCTGTTCCTCGCCGCGGGGACCTCGTGGTTGTGCTTCCCCTCGTACGTGGTGATCACCGACTTGAGGTCGTGCGACGCGCGCTCCACGTGCTTCCGCACCAGGCACCCCGGGTGCGTGCACTTGTAGTAGCTCCTGATCACGACGACGACGACGAGAGATCGATCAGCATCCATGGAGGAGGAGGAGCTCTGAGAAAATGGAGGAGAGGCTCGAGACGAACCTTGGGTTGGGGTTCCCCTTGACGACCTTCTGCCCGTACTTGCGCCAGCGGTAGCCGTCGTCGAGGATGTCCACCTCGCTCGTCGTCTGGATCACCACCCGCGGCTCGCGCACCGCCCTCGACGCCGTGCTCATGTCCATGGTGGCGCAGGAGTCCAGCTTCCTGAAGCATTCATTCATTTCACACGATTCAGACGATTTCGCGTGCAATGCCATGGAAGGAACAGAGAGGACAGTGATACTGATGGGTGTGCGACCTTCTCTTTCGCTCCAGCTCGTCGCTCTCGCCGTCGGCGGCGGCGGCGGCCAGGGGCAACACGTGCGTCGCCTTGTCATCCCTGTCCACCTCGTCGGACACCGCAGACGTGACGTCGACGCCCTCGGGGGATTCCCCCAGCTGCGCCGCCGCCGCGCCTTCATGGACCTGCATCGACGCCGTCGACTCGCAGAGCTCGCCGGGGACGGAGGGAGACGACGTCGCGTCCACCAGCCCCTCGCCGCCAACCACGCCGCCGTTGTGCCACTCCGCGCCCGCCTGTCCGGCGCCAACTGGGGTACTGCCGCCGCCGCCGTCGGGCGCGTGGTCGGCCTGCGCGTCGCCTGGCGGCAGCGGCGTCGTCGTCGTCGTCGCCGGCGACGGCGGCGGAGGATGGACGGGGGGGCGGCGGCTCGCCGCCGGCTTGGGGTGGTTGTGGGTGCCCTTGTAGATGATCTCCGTGACGTGGCCCTCGTGCGAGCGCTCCACCTTCTTCTTCACCGCGCAGCTGGCGTGCGTGCACTTGTAGTAGCTCCTCGGGTACTCGCTGTGCTTCACCTGCTTCTGCCCGTACTTCCTCCAGCTGTACCCGTCCTCCGCCACCGCCGCCGCGGCGGCGGCGACGACGGCGACCGCGGCCGCGCCGGAGGAGGAGTCAGCCTTCGCGTCGCCCTCCGCCGGCTGGCCCTCGCCGTCGCCGCCGTTGTCAGGTGCAGCGCGGCTCCGCTTGCCGCCGTTGAACTGCGGCTGCATCAGTTGGTTGGCTGCTGCTTCATCTTGTGCGGTTTGAATGCTAGTAGCTTCAGTCTTGACAGAAATCGGTAGCGACTGATGCTGGTTGTTGGGTAGAGATTTCTGCAGCCAAAACCAAAAAAAAATGGCATTATATGCTCACAAAATCTCTTCAGATACTACTACGTTAAGAACAAAAAATTTCAGGAAAGAAATTGCTGGTTCAGTCAGAATTCAGAAGTAACTTGGCCAATCAAGTCATTTTGAAACCTGAAAAACAGTTCAGTGACTAGGAGCTACCAGAATCAGTAGTAACAGGAAGAACAGGTACGAAGAGTATGAATAATTTTTCAGTTAACTCTGCTCACCGTCTTTTCTTCAGCTGCGTAGTGTGAGGATGCGAGATTCAGAGGCTTGAAAGAAAATGCACCAGATCCTTCTTCGATCCGAGGGGATTCAAATCTGATTGGATTGCTGTCGTTGGCACCACCAAGCATGTGCAGCTTCCCAGTGGTCGGCGAGGCCTGGCCCTGCAAAATCCCATACACAGAAAGCATTTTGTCCGGTCAGGTTAGTCCAAAGCTTCAGGGTTTGCATACTTTTGTGAACTTAATTTTAAAAGTATCACCAACGCATAACGTTGGGAAATGAGTTCAGTTGACCACCCTAAGACACTGCATTCTTAGAGTTCATTGATATATATGAATAAGAACACGATTAACGCCTAATTTTAATTTAGGCTTAGGTACATATACATTGGGACAGTGTTTAGCGCATAATGCTGGATTATTATGCATATGCATAATGCATCCACAGTGCAACTGTAGCGGTTCATTTGTCTGAAAGAAAAAAAATAAGTATCTTTAAAAACAAAGCAGCAAGTATGATGGAGGAAGTCTGAGCAGCAAGTACGAACTCCCGGAGAAGTCAAAAGTTCAGTAGAGTAAAGCAAACATTCTTGCCTGCCAGCTTAACATTACATGGACACAAAAAGCAATCGAATCTAACACTAAAACTTACTAACATTATATGCACACACAAACACAAGGTTCGGTGTGCTTATCAAGCTAGAAATCGTAACCACAGACCAAGTGATGAATTGATGATGGATACCATGGCATTGGAGAAGACCGGCGATTCCAGCAGAGTCGTCGGGCTCAGGCCGGGCGGGATCGTCACGTACGGCGACGGCGCCCCCGCCGACGACACGTCCGCCGCCGGCTGGTTGTACGGCACGCTGATCCTGGCGACGTTGCTGAACCCGCCTCTCGCCCTCCTGTCGGCGAGGCTGCCGCCGCCGCCGCCGCCGGAGCCGAACTTCTGGCCGAACTGCGGCGTCAGTGGCAGCGGCGAGCACCCGTCCTCCGGAGGCGGCGGCGTCGGCGGCGGCGAGCCAACGGCCACCGACAGGCCGTGCTTCTCGAACCCGCCTTCTCCCTCCAAGAGCTCCGGTGGCGGGAACGCGTCGGCGAGGAAGTTCTGCATCGGCATCGTCATCAGGTAATCCGCGCCTCGATGGTTGGAATCCTTCCACTCCTCCATCGCTATGTCTCCCTCCATCTCACCCTGTAAATAAATTAGTAGAAGTACAATGCAGGCTAAACAACACTGAGAAAATGACAATAAAAAAACAGAGAAGAAATTAATAGTGCTCCAATGCAGGCTTAACAACACTGAGAAAATGACAGTAAAAAAGAAGAATTCAGTTTCAGAGCTGATCCTTGTTCTTCACGAGGATTTCACAACAAAAGTGTTGTTTTTAAAAAAAATAAAACAGAGCCACCTTTTTTCGAAACAGAAGAAGGCCACAGGTTCCAGCAAAAAAAAAGAACTCCAAATTTCAATTTTGTTCGCCTCTGAACTCGATTCCAAAAACCTGAAACCGTGTCCACGAAGGTAAACGACAACACGCCAACATTCGAAAGGTTTAAGCCGGCACAGCCCTCCACAAAAGGGACACAGAAAACCGAAAGAGAGCCAAAGAAAAAAACAAAAAACAAAAGTTGTACTCCACTCCGTTCGTTCGATCCTACAACTACTCGTTCGCTGCCTCCAAGAATAGGAAAAGAGAAGGTTGGCCAATGGATGGACCCCTACAGGCTCGGAGCTCAAGGCTCGCAAGAACAACAAGAGACAACAACTTTCGTCAGAAACATTGTGATTTCGCGTCCGGGATTAAGGGGGGTGGTGGAAGAGCCCCTCACACGGAGAAGCAACATTACGAATTTACGATTTGGAAATTTCAATTTCAATCCGTTTCTTTTTGAGGTGGAAGCGATACGTGAACAGAAAATCCGAAAGGCGAAGATATCGAATCGGCGACGAGGAAGGGAAATGCTGGCACCTGAGAGGCATTCTGATTCGTTTTGACATGACGATCAGAGCAAAATTTCCTTCCTTTCTTGACGAAGAATTGTTTTCTTTTTCCTTTTGAGGAATCTCTGAACAAATAGAATGACGGGGACGAGAAGGCGGTCTTGGTTCAGAGGCAATGCATGCCACTGCCTGGATCAAAGAGATTCAAGAACAACCGCACATCGCAGAAATGAAAACAAAAAAAAAAATCCAACGACGCCACATTCTGAAACAGGGATGGGAGAGACCAATCCCCATAGCCCAAGAAATCCAGATCAAGAATAACCCACCAGATGGCAAACGGAACATAAACGATCAAGAACGCCATAGACCAACATGGGGGAGAAAGCCTGCATGTCCATGGAAATGGCAGTTGCATATGCAGAAACATTGGACAGAAATGCAGCACTGACCTCTCAAGAAACGGCAGTGGCGGCGACGAATCAAGATCGTCAGGCCAATGGCGACGGAATGAGATTCGCAAGGAGCCCAACAATGGCGGCGAGTCTCTCTCTCTCTCCCGATGGCTCTCAGTCCAACCCACCAAATGGGCAATGGCCAAAGAGACCAAAGCCGCAGCCGGAACAGAGCACAAGGATTCTTCAGAGACAAATGATGAGCTGCAGCCGCAGGGAGTCAGGAAAAGAAGGTTCCCCCTGCCATTATTACTCCTCTCTCTCCCTCTCCTCCCATTCTCTCTCCTCCCTTGGGTGCAATTCTTTTATGCTAGAGAGAGAAGATGATGGAGAAGAAACAGAAAGAGAGGAGAGAGAGAGAGGAAGGGGGGCGGTTTGACCGATATGGATGGGGGAATGTGCTGCAGGATTCGTTGGAGCTCTTGTGGTTTACGAGAGGAAGATGGCATGTTGTGCTGCCTGCGCGTTCCATCTGCATGGCCTTGCTTTTGCCTTGCCTTGCCTCTCTCGTTTAATTTTCTTTTGTCTTTGTTTTTGTTTGTTTTTGGTTTTGGGGGTGGGGGGGGGGGGTTTGGTTTCTTGAGTTTTGGTTTTGCTTGGTTGTCATGGAGCGGTTGGTGTTTTTCGAAATTAGGGGTTTTAATTGAGGTACGGGCTGTACTCTCAATCTTACGATGGAGGACGTGGGGGGAAAAGGTTTTCTATGCCGGTTTTAATGACTGAATTCTCCTGTGAATGTGGTCTGTTTGTTTGTCGCGGTATATACATGGACTGTGGAGTGTATATACTACTCCCTCCATCCCAAAATATTTGACGCCGTTGACCTTTTTAAACTTGTTTGACCGCTCGTTTTATTTAAAAACTTAAGTAGCAGTAGTATATTTAACAATGAATCAAATGATATGAAAAGATTTAATAATTACTTAAATTTTTTGAATAAGATGAACGGTCAAACATGTTTAAAAAAGTCAACAGCATCAAATATTTAGGGACGGAGGGAGTATATTTTTACTACTAATGACATATGGCTCTGCTTTGCAACGTGTTATGCTCGTATAACTAAGGGTTGGTTAAGTAGATGGGATCTACGGTGGTTACACTCACGAAAGGAGCGGATGGCCTTCTGCATATGGTGGGAAGGGGATGCGAGGAGAATAGTTGTGCTTCTAAAAGAGAATTAAATCCTGCACATGAATTTGAACAAACACATGTTTAGATTTATAGTTACAAAAAATTTTCTGTTACAGGGGAAATACAATTTTACATGGAGAGCCGATCGATGATGTTCTGTGAAAAAAAAGATATACATGAAACGCGGTAACGGTATTGTGCTGTGCCGGACGTTCTGTAAAATTTCTGCATGAAACGGTATTGGGTGAGAGACTTCGTTCTGTAGCTACTACGCATTCGTAGAAGTTGCTAGATAGCAGGAAAAGTAACGAACTCAAATTCGGTTAGGTTACAAAACAGAATAGTGGGTAACTAACTTTCAGTTTCTTTTGTATAATTAGAGCAAGTGTTTCCGCTTTCCCTAAAAACACGTTTTTACTCATAGTTTTGTTTTTTTTTTTACCAAAACTCAAGTTTTATTTTTGAAAATCGCAATATTTCAGGTGATTGACCTTCAGCCTTGAGTAGGAGATGCAACGAGAGATCGAAGAAAGAGGGTTGAGGTGAGAGCTGGGGCTTACCGTCTAGCAGCGATGACCGCAAGCTTCTCGATGATCCATTCATCTTCCCTATAACAGCGACACCCAAACTCCGACAGAGAATAAGAGGTTAGGTTTTCGGGGTTGTGACGTGGTAAAGAGGTGGGGGTGGGGGGGGAGGATGTGAGGGCGGGTTTAGTGTGACGGCCGAGGATACGGAAGTTCAGCACTGGACTGGGTTGGCAACGGGGGCAACATCAATGAAAGTAGTTAGGAGGCAGCAGCGGATACCACCAAATACGAGGAAGGAACGGTAGGGGGGGAGGGCTTTATGCCACATAAGTTGAAGGAGATGTGCTGAAATGAGGGAGGAAGTAGCACTACTAGAAAAAAGGTATTTGCTGACGGGCCAAATCCATCTTTCTAGGCGGATAGGCGTTCCACCTGCAAGCAAGGGCCTGCGAAAATAGATGATTTTCGTAGGCGGACAATATCTTCGTAGGCAGTAGATTCACCCGCCTGCAAAAAATATTTCAGCAAATAAAAAAAAGATGCAACGCCACCGCTGGCCACCCTCTCCGGCCGATGACAGCTCTCCTCCTCCGTCCACCGCTGCCTCGACAGGCATCGGCGCCATCGTCGTGGCAGTCATCATCGCCATCGGGAGAAGAGCCGCCGCGTCTCCTCCTCCATCCGTCGTCGCCCCCACATCATCGTCGCGGTAGTCGTCGTCGTTGCGGCAGTCGTCCTCGTCGTTGCGGCAGTCATCGTCGTCGTCAGGACAGGAGCTGTTGCCTTTCCTCCTCGTCGCCGCCTCCCCTCCCCTCTCCTCCCCTCCCCGGCGAGGAGGGGAGCCGACGGTGGATCCGCGCGCCCGGGGGAGCCAGCGAGGAGAGGAGGAGGCGGCAGATCCAGCGTCGCGATCGTCGTCGAGGAGGGAGCCGGCGATGAGGAGGGGAGGCGGCGGCGGATCCAGCGTCGCGGTCGTCATCGTCATCGAGGAGGGAGCCAGCAGAGTATTTCTACTGGAGAGAGACAGAGAGAGGAGGGGGAGGGAAATAAGTGGTGGAGGAGATGCTAAGATGAAACTTAGATATTTTTTGGTGGTATGATTTTTGCTAGCGAACCACATAAGGTTTTGTCTACAAAAATCACATTTTTTTCAGGCGGACCATTTAAGAGGTCCACCTGTGAAAATAAAAGGTATTTTTTTAAATGAACCTCTTAACTGGTCCGCCAGGAAAAATTGATTATCGCAGGCGGACAACGAGATTCACCCCAGTTTATATTTTTGTAGGCGTCTATTTGGCTCCGAGAGTCATATCCGCCTATGGCCGCCTAGGAAAACAAAAACCCCACGTCTGCAAAAATGCTTTTTCTAGTAGTGGAATCACATTCCTACAAAAAAGTTGCAGAATTTGTAATTTGTGGGTACCACTTTTTTTTTCAAAGTACTCACTCTGTTCATAATTAATCATCATACTAGATGGTAGGGATGAAAACGGAGCGGATAGTTTCCATCCGCTCCGGACAAAAATGGATACGAATACCATTCGGATCGGATAATTCTCAGATAGTTCGGATACGGATACGGTATTAAGGTTTCCGTCGGATACGGATAATAATTCGGATATCCGGTGAACAATGCTATTCGGATATCCGCAGAAGCCATGAGACATACCCCATTTCTTTCTAACTCTATAACCTTTAATATACCTTTATAAATTTTAATAGTAGTTTATCTCTTAACACTAGTCCATACTATTGTCGACGTTTGATGTCGCGATTCCGGTATTTGCATAGTATGGAGATCGTTGGTATTAGGATATACGCGAGACTGAGGTAAAAGAGACGGGGACGGGGATTTTTATACAGGTTCGGGCCCCTGAATTGTCAGGTAATAACCCTACATCCTGTTAGCCGAAGCCGGTATTACTCTTATTCACCATAATCACACCAGTATAATATTTGGGGTAGCCTATCTAACTGTTGTCGACATGGCGGTCTGAAGGTCTGACTCGTGTCGACAACAGGGTAGTCTTCCTCCTCGAATCTGTGCCCGGCAAGATCAGAGATAGTGCTTTCGTCTGTCCTAATAGTATTCGGAGACACTGTAGGGGACTAGCCGTGCTTATCCCTGAAGTCGATATCCGGCGTCTTGTCTTGGCGTATGTTGGCTTGTATGTTGATCTTGTGTATTGATCTATTGCTCCGTGTATGTTGATTATGGTGGTTGTTGATCGCGTGTCTCTTCCATGGTGGGTGTGTTGATTGTCCCCTCTCCTCCTAGGAGGTCTTGTATTTATACCCATAGGTGTCCCATTATCCAAGTAGAACTAGAGAAACCAATATGGATACAATCCGAGTAGTCCTTGTCGTTTCCATGTAGAACTCTGGTTGTCTTTCCTTATTCGGAACTCCTCCTATATCCGCAGGTTGTTTCCGTATAGGACATGGTATATGGTGGGTCCTGCCGAGATGTAGTCGACTACTATTAGGTATGTGGTATCCATAACCCTGACAACTATTAATATTATTTAATTTTTTTAAAAAATATAAATTATACTTCATTTTATATAAAATGAGCTAATTATATATGTTGATATTTGTTTCTATTAGAAGTTGAGCTAATTATATATGTTGATATTTGTTTCTATTAGAAGTTGAGTTGGTTTTCATGTTCCGGGAAAATTTTGTTTCCGTATTCGTGTCCAATCATATTTGATTCTTATTCATATTCGAGATAATCCGTATTTGTTTCCGTATTCGAGCTATCTGTATTCGTTTTCGTATCCGGTAAAAAATATGAAAACGAATATCGTATGAGCATTATCCATCCGTATCCGCTCCGTTTTCATCTCTACTAGATGGGTACCCCACGTGTTGCTGCGGGAGAATTATATGTATGGATATATCCACCAATTTCCATTTACTTTTATACCCAGATAACGAATAAACTTAAAGAATAAATATTAATATGATTATCATTTAAGAAAACCTTCAAAAAGTTATATGGCGATCAAAATTTGAATTGATGGAGTAATTATGTAAGCCCAAAAACTACTAAAATAGAAACCCTTCTTTCAAAATCCTCTAAAAGCAGTTTTTATAAGCCTTGGCGTCGTGCAATATGTTACTACCTCGGTTGATTTTTGTGTGCCGTAATTTTAAATATCCTAAAAAGTTCAAATCGACCAAGACCAATTTTTTTATCGCAAAATGCATTCATAATAGCTAAAAGATCAACAAAATGTGAAAATAACTATTAAAAAAGATATTAACTTTGTTTGTTATTTGTTTTATACAATATAAATAAATGCATTTTTACGAAGTTCCCTTAAAACAACTGACGAACGAGAACGATCGATGTGCCCGGACGGCTCTTGGCTCGTTGAGACTTGACTACTAGCCGTTTTTCTGGACTCATAAATTCTGGTTGATTTTCTGAAGGATGTACTACCTTCATCATAAAATAAGTGTAGTTTTATACTATTCATCTCCAACATTTGACCGTTCATCTTATTTAAAATTTTTTATGATTACTATTTTTTTATTGTTATTAGATGATAAAATATAGATAGTACTTTATGTGTTATTAATTTTTTTAAAAAAATTTATAAATATTTTAAATAAGACGAATGGTCAAACGTTGGACACATTTATTTTGAAACGGAGGTAGTACCGCATATGTTCAGAGAGACACGTACGACTAGTTGCAGACTGCAAAACCTGGCACATTCTGACTCTAGCAGCGCAGCAGCATCGCAAGATTTGGAATCAACGGTTCAGAGCAGCCGTACGTCGTACTCCATTCCTCACCGAGCTCACAAAAAACGGGAGACGGCCGTGTCGGGCGGGCTAGTGGCTAACCGATTTGGGTGTCGGTCGCTGCAGTAAAAATCACATTCATTTGGCGTATAAATTCACGGACTCCGTAGTCCCGTACACGTATACTCCGAGTCCTAGAGTCCCAGAGTATATCTTTAGTTACATGCATGGTAAACGACGGGAGAGAGGGTAAAAGATGCTGAAGTTTTTGACGATCGATTTGACCCAGGGACATGAATTGATATAATTGTCGCCGATGAGTAATTAAAAGCGATATTACAATCCAATGCATTGCGCTCAACAACGTGGCTATCACGAACATCTCACAAATCCAAGCCTCACGTACGTGTTGCTTCCATTTATGTGCAACGTGCAGTCATCATCACCAAAGGGTTGAGGTCCTTGGCTTAAATTTGCGTGCACTGTCTTAAGAAACATATATCTATCTATTATATTATTATATTATTAACACAGCTCGAAAAGAAGTCACTACGTTTGCTGTGGAGGCTAAAAATTTCCACATTGATCGGAGAAAAAGAAAAAAAAGGAAAGAAAAGTCCAAGTAGGAATACAATCTAAAAATAGCTTACATTTGGAATTAAAAATAAGCAATATTGAAAGAAGTTTTCATATAAGAAACCAATACGAGATTAATCCAAATTCGAAATAAAAATAAAATAAAATACAAAATTAGAAAAGGAAAGGAAAGTCCAAGTAGAAATACAATCTAAAAATAGCTGAAATTCGGAATTAAAAATAAGCAATATTGAAATAAGTTTCCATATAAGAACCCAATACGAGATTAATTAAAATTCGAAATAAAAATAAAATAAAATACAAAATTAGAAAAGGAAAGGAGAGTTCAAGTAGAAATACAATTTTGAAACAACTGAAATTGAAAATAAAATATAAAAACATTAAAAGAACATAATATGGCATTAACTAAATTTTTTTAAAAAATAAATTCTGAAACTAGAAAAAGAAAAATAAGATTTCAATTAGGAACACAATTTATAAATAACTAAAATTTGTGATAAAAATAAAGACTATTGAAAGAAAAAACCATCTAAAACACATGACGAGAAAAATTAAGTAACAGGCCTATAAAGGAGTAGAGTGGTGGCGGTTGATACGACATATAAAAATTGTTAATAAAACACTAAATAGAATCCTAATGACGATTAAAAGGAGGGACATGAGGTAGGCCGTGAAGCAAACAGGTAAGGCAGTTGCTGGGACTTCTAGAAAGTAAAAAAAAAAACCATTGATAATCATATTCAATTTTTAAAATCTCAATGACAATAAAAAGGAGAAGCAGCGGGCGGGGTGTATAAGAGTATAGTTGCAGAGCCGCCGACGGTTGACGGGACTTCTAGAAAATTAAAAATGAATTAAAAATAAAGAGTAGGCGACCGACGGGTTGTAGAGGGGCATAGTGGCATCGTTTGATGGGACTTCTAAAAATTATAAAAAATGAAACTACAAGTCCAATTTTTAAAGGTTCGTAACTTCCAAAAAGTAAAAAAAGACCCAATGATAATCATGTTCGATTTTAAAATCTCAATAACAATAAAGAAGGGAGGCAGCGGGCGAGACGTAGAGAATTACAATGGCAAAGCCGCTGATGGTTTGGCGGGATTTCTAGAAAGTAAAAATGAACCCAAACGATAATTATGTTCGATTTTTAAAATCTCAATAACGGGCCATAGAGGAGTATAATGGCAACGTTTGACGGGACATCTAGAAATTATAAAAACAAAACCCAACGTGACAATAAACTCTAAAAACTATGAAATCCAATTTTAAAGGTTCCAAGAAGAATGAATAGAAATAGTGGTAGATCGAGCAAGCAAATAAAGAAGGAGTTGACATAAGGGGTAGCAACTGGTGTGATTTAAAAACTATATAATTAGAAACACGAGGATGATAAGGTTTGGTCTTTTCAAGTCTTATAAGAAAATGAGATAGCTATTTAATAAATTTTAAGTAAAATCATATAAAAAAATATATGATTTTGTTTGGATGCTAGCCGCGCAATTGCGCGGGCTAACCAGCTAGTTTGATATCATCATCTTCTTAAGAAATATAATATATACATATACTCTCTCCGTTCAAAAAAATAAATAAATCTAATACTGTATATGACATATTCATATTAGGCAAAATTTGCTACAGAACACTGAAAGATTATGGTCTTTGCTGTGAGGCACTTGAAGATCGCGTATCTTCTCGTGGACACCGTAAAAAAGTAGTAATTAGCTGCTAGACACTCCTCCCATTATTTTATTATTTTCGGCCCAAACGGAGAGAGAAACTTTCATAAAAGACAAGTTTGCCCACGGGTCCACTCGTCAGTCTCCTCTCTTTCTCTATTCTCTTCTTCCTCAGCAGCGAGTGATGGCAGAGGTGCCGAGCAGCCACGGCGAGGCCACCCGTCGGACAGCGTTCGGGAGAAGGTGCCGGCGGCGGAGAGGAGTGGTGTGTCTGTGGCACACGCTGGCGGAGGAGGTGGAGACGAGTCCGTCCACAACGGCATAGAGATTGGCCGCCGGGAGTGAGGCCCTGCACTCCAGACAATCCCCGGGAATGCCGGTGGTAGAGGAGGTCGATAGATGTTGTGTGGATGTGGAGGATGGCGCGGCGGTGGAGGGGGTGGCGTGGCAGACGTGCTCCAAGGGTCCAAGTGGAGTCCTTCAGATCGGCGCAGGCGAGGCAGGGGCTGGCCGACACAACAAAGGGGAAGGACGACGACGAGGTCGACCATGGCGAAGACGGGCACCCCAGTCTCCAGGGCCGCGACTAAAGTAGGTGGGCGGAGGCGGTGGGGGCAGTCAGCGGCCTCCATCTGGGAGAAGAAGACGGCGACCGGCTCGTGACGCAGTGTGGAGGACGAAGTCGACGATGAGAGCTTGGACAAAGCCGTTTTCATCGCCGCCGGCCGATCTCCTCCTCCATTGCTCCCCTTCCTATTCCCTTTCACCACAGGCTTTGCCTCACCGAGGAGAGACCCTTTTTCCCCTTTCCCCTCTCCCTCCACCTCTGAGTCAGGCCACCACCGCCACCACCATAGCCGGCCAGAACTAAGCTCTTTGTGTTGCCGTTCCGGCCATCTCCTTTTTCCTCTTTGCTTGACACCACCCTCCCCGGATGCGCATCGCCCGGGAACATCATCCGTCACCAACGTCGTCGATCCCCGGCCACTGGAGCACCGACGCCCTTCTCTCTCCCTCTCCTCTGTTACTCGGCTGGAAGGAGGAAGAAGAACATTGTCAGGGGCATTTTGGTACTTACACCACTCTTTCTCTCTCCGTTTGGGCCGAAAATAGTAAAATAATGAGAGAAGTGTCTAGCAGCTAATTACCACTTTTTTACAGTGTCCACGAGAAGATGCGCGATCTTCGGGTGTCTCACAGCAAAGACCACAATCTTTCATTGTCCTGTAGCAAATTTTGCCTTCATATTATAGTACAATGAATTTGAAAAGAGATATGTCCACATCCAGTACTAGATTGTTTTTTTATGGGACGAATGGAGTATATAATACTATGAATCTGAATATATGCATAGTTATTCGTGATGCAAAGAAGAGGGAAATAGTTCTATCCCGTCCTATACGGCTACATCGTATATAATGACATATTGGGATGCACTTGACCACATATTTATTCTTCGGCCTTATTATATTTAAGTTTTCAAGTGGAAATATGTATATTTACAATATATATGTCTGTGTAGTGGCTAGTGCTCTTGTATATACATATTCCGTATACTAATTGAGAAATGAATTTACAGAATATAATATTTACCTTAAAAAAGGATACTACTACAGTAGCTCTCTTATCCATGAAAGAATCGTTGCGTACTTTGCTGCACTTCTGCAGCGCTAGCTAGCTGCTAAAACAGATACTAGTACTATCACACACACGTTCGTGGGAAGCAATAACGGCTGCAATTCAATGGCGCCATTGGATTCGAGATCCCCACACACGCTCCCGAAGCGAGAGTACGCGATCGGTATTAAAACCGCGCCCCAAGTACACCGGCAATCACTCTTCCCAGCTACTCTACTCGTACGTACTCTACTCTGTCCGTATACATTGCGCCACATCATATCATCACTAGTTTTTCTTCTCTCTCAAAAAAGAAGAAAAAAATATATCGCCCCTTCATTCAAAAGATCAATCCATAGGTAGGAGTATATACTGATCATCGTGCAAGTTTGCAACAAGCCCATCAAGCATGAGCAGTAAATTCAGTACAAGTTCAAGTAAATAATGCACAGTGATATACTCCATTCGAGAAGCAAAGCAATGTACCTCTCCAGTACCTGCCGCGTGGTAGCAGTACCATACTACACGGTACACGGCCTGTCAGGTTGTCACAGTATACAGCAATGGAACCACGCAGCAAAACTCTGCCACGAACAGTTACTGCCGGTAAAAAGGAAAGGAAAACTTGCCGGCTTGCTGCTTGCTTGCCATGCACCTCCTGTGTTCTCGCAGTTGGACTGAGGGCGTGTTTAGTTCACGTTAAAATTAAAAGTTTGGTTGAAATTGAAACGATGTGATGAAAAATAAAAATTTGTGTATGTAGAAAAGTTTTGATGTGATGAAAAAGTTGAAAGTTTGAAGAAAAAGTTTGGAACTAAAGTTGACCATGGATGAAGTGAATAATGCGTGTGGTGATAGATTCAGGGCTTGCTGTACGCCTGTACAGTCTACTACTACAAATCTATAGTATATACGTGTACGGATGTACCCCAATGTCTACGCCGATCTCTCTGAAACTGTACGTAGAGCAGCAGATGCCCTGTTTGCTGCAGGCGACTACGGTATCGGTCGTCTCAGAATCTCACGTGCCGATGCGAGGAGGAACCAAAAAAACAAACCATTCGATCTGCTACTGCTGCTGCTACTGCTGCAGCTGCTGCCGCCCCTCTGAATTGAACGTGCCTGGACTGGACCATCGCCGTCGCTCCTGTCGGATGGCCGGTTAATTTCATGGTGATCAGTAGCCAGCCTCTCTGCACGCGATCTTTGCTGGTCCCAGAGGCGAATCGCGCTGCACCAGCGGCCGTAGCAAAACGGCCGGTCTCAGGATGCTCTCGTTGTACTCCTCCTTTGTTCACGCATGCCACGCTCTGGCGTTTTGGTATCCATCCTTCCTGGAGCCAAATCGACCGAACAGTACTCTGAAATCTGGCTACAGTAGCAGTACTCCCTCCGTCCACTAATATAAGAAATTTTGACATTTTACTTGTGTTATTTGACCATTCATCTTATTAACAAAAATTGGAACTATTATTTATTTTTTTATTTACTTTATTATACAAAGTACTTTAAGCATGATTTTTCGTTTATTGTATTTGTATAATTTTTTTAATAAAATAAATAATCAAACAGTGTAAATAAAAGTTAAAATCTCTTATATTTGTATTATGGAACAAAGGGAGTACAAGATTCCTCTCATCAAGGAAAGGGTTTTGAGATGAGGCGAGGACAGATGGTTTTATTATTAGCAGTGAAAATTCTGGAACTGCTGGCTGGTTTTATTTTATCCGTGTGAACTCCGGCTCCGGCTTTGCTTCCGGGGTCCAAGGACTTGGGATTAAACAATGACGCAGTGTCGGGTAAAGGCAAACCAGGTTTTGCTTTGTGAATCGGGAAAGACAGCATTTGGACATCTTTTTTTTTTCTTGCCTTCTTTGGTTGTTTGGAAGATTTAGCAAATTCTTGCGTTGCAATGATTAAAGTACCTGCTTCGAAACGTGGTTAGTTCGGTCATTTGGCCAGACGATGATTCACTGCCATTGGATTAGTCCATTGTAGTAGAAGCAAATCACTTGTGTTACCGACTATTCCTCCCCACATATCCCGATCGATGATGGTATGCATTGCGACTTGTACGAAGACCATGATTAGATGCTCACCTAATTAAAAACTACTCAAGCAGTCTTATCAAATTATCGGCGAGCTGGTTTTGCGGAAACCCATCACAACAAGATGCCGGCTACGTGCTCACAGTCGTTCTTGCGAATTTTTTCTCTTGTTATTACATCGATGTCTTCGTACGCCCGTGAAGACAAACGGATTAATATACGTCTCAAAAACTACGAAGAAGAGTACTGCCTTCTTTTTAAATTAGTGGTCGCTTTGATTTTCTCTTACAAACGTTTTAACATTTATCTTATTTAAAAAATTAGTGTAAATATAAAAATTAATAAGTTATAGTTCAAGTACTTTTGATAATAAACCAAGTCACAAACAAAATAAATAATAATTCTATCATTTTTTGAATAAGACAAATGATAAAAATTTAAAAAAAACTCAAAGCGACAAGTATTTGAGACAGATGTACTAATAAGGTAAAAAAGCCACGGGTTTGCATAATTGCATTCCACGCGTCCTCGCTATCTCCTCTCGTCAACTGCGCGCCCGAAACGTGATGACCCGCGGCTTGACGATGGCCTCTGCTCTGCTCTGCGTGTGCGCGAAGCCGCCAACTGCGAAGCGGCGGCAGGGTTACCGGTTGCGCGGTGAGCGTACTACGGCCCGCCGCGACGAGGAGCAGACGAGCGCCGAGCGCGCGCGCGCGAGACACGGAGACCGACGTGCACGTAGAGCGATGGGCCTCGGCCGGACCCCCGCGATTCATCAAGCCCGATGCTGGGGGTCTCTGGGCGACGCGGGACAGGCCCGCCCGGTACGGCCTATGCCACGGAAGAGGCCTGTGCCGTATAGGTGCCAGCGCAATGGGGCCGTCTGCTGCGTCTTGGGCAGCGAAAGAGGCCCGTGCCATGATGCCATCAGGGATTCAGGTGCTCTAGGAAAAAGTCTAACTTAACCCCCTTAAAATATAGGTCTAATCTGATTTATATCCCTCGACTGCAATATTAAATATCTTAACCCTTTCAGTTAAAAATATACTTACATTGTGAAACGGAGGAAATACATGGTTTTTGCTCCATCAACTCCCTCAACTATTGTGAGGATGGTTTTCGCTGATATGGCGTGTACGTGGCATTACAATTAGCGAAAAAATAATAAAATATATATACATGGGATCCACATACGTACCACTTCTTTTCCTCTATCCTCCAATTTCTCTTCTCTCTTCCTCATCTATCTTAATCTCTCTCTTCTTTCATGGTTCTCTCTCACGGTGCTTTGCGACGGTGTGGCAACCGGCGGCGGCACCCGTCCGGCGGAAGAGGAGCTGGAGGCAACAATGAGGTTCGGAGGTTCGAGGAGCTAGCCCGAAAAGATGGTGAAAGAGTTGTTGAGCATAGTGCGGAGGACGGCCAATCGGCGGCTGCGGCAGCAAGGAGACGAGTCACCATAGCACCAAGGAGCTAGTGGAGTGGGCTGCACATCTAAGGGAGATGCTCAAGCTGGCATATAAGCCACCGATAGCTCCTTGAGGCCGATAGCCATGGATGTTCCGCAACGGCTGCTCTCCTCGATGCCGACTGCCAGGTTCGCTTGTTTTCTCCCCCGTTGCATGCCATGACAGCCATGCCGCCGTCTCCCTCCCCTCCATGCCGTAGTGGCCGCTCTTCTAGCTGCACGGCACGCTCATCTAGCTCGGCGACATGCCACGCCACCTTGGAGGAGAGGTGACGCGGCCCTCGAGCTCCTTCGCCACCGCCGCTAACCTTCTGCTGCCCCGTCATCATTGTGCAAGGGGAGGGGTTGCTGACATGTAAACCCTCGTATTGACTCAACCGGTTGGATTTGGTCAACGATCCACATTAATGAAACATCACCTTCAATGTTACTAAGGGACTTAAATTGCACTAATTTTAATAGTTAAAGGTTCAAGATACCTGCTACTATGATCGAGGGATACAAATCATATTAGCCTATATTTGAAGGGACTGAAGGTGGACTTATTCCTACGAGAGTACTATCACACACACACCCCGTACGCTACTACGCTTCCACGCTGATCTCGTGAACTTTGACACGTAGAAACATCACACATACAAATAATATATATACTCCTTACTAAGGTAACAATATATTATATACTCCGATCACTAACAAGTATTGACGTCTGGTTGGTTGCCCCGTACGCGCAGCCAAGCCACAGCCTCACAAACACGACACCAGCAAGGTCATCGCGGCAGCGGCTCCGTAGCTCGCGGCCTTGTGAGCCACCACCGCCGGTCCGGACGCCGACCTCTTGGCGCCGCCCTTCCCCGCCGCCGGGTCCGGCGGCGGCGCCGGGACGTAGTCGTCGATGTCGCCGTCGTCGTCGTCGGGCGGCGGGTGATCGGCGTGGGGCGGCGGCGACGGCAGCGCCGGCACGGGCGGGGTGGCCGCGACGGGCGGGTGGGCGTGGAACAGCGCGTCCGGGAGCAGCACCGTGTCCAGCTCGTACACCGCCATGGCCGCCGACTCGTACACGCTCCCGACCACCCTGGCGCTGGACCACCTCGACATCACGTGGACCACGCCGCCGTCGTACGTCACGTTCACCGCGTACCTCCCGCCGGCGAGCGTCTTCACCGGGTTGCTCTGGCTCAGCCCGTCGAACTCCGCCAGCGTGTAGTGCTTCGCCAGCGAGTGGTACATCAGCAGGTGCTTCAGCTGGTTCCTCGATAGCCCCGCCAACACCTGCCAATTATTCATCACCACAATGTCAACATTACCAATCAAATCCCAGTAAGTGATCGTGTTCTCGGTGTTATACTTCTTCCGTTTTAGATTACAAGTCGTTTTGATTTTGGTCAAAATCAAACTGCTTTAAATTTGACTGTTTGTAGAAAAAATTAATAATATTTTCAACTCAAGATACATTTATTATGAAAATATAATCAATTGTTGATTTGATGAAACTAATTTAGTATTATAAATGTTATTATATTTGTCTATAAATTTAATTAAATTTAAAACAGCTTGACTTTGATAAAATCAAAACATCTTGTAACCTAAAACGGAGGGAGTATTACCGATGGCTCGATGGCGGCGAAGGCCATGTCGACGGGGACGAAGATGGTGATGCCCTGGTGGGTCCGGTAGGCCTGGTGCTCGAACACCGCCACGAGGTTGGTCTGCCGGAGGTACATGAGGAAGGTGCTGAAGGGGCCGGCGACGTTGAGCACGTCGGTGAGGTTGCCGCCCTTGTCCTGCGGAGCCGGCGCCGCGCCGCCGCCGGCATCCGTCCTCACCGGCGCCGGGGGCGGCCGGGCAAGCGCGCCGGCGAGCAGGAGGGAGAGGGACAATGCGATGGCGAGGAACGTCGCGACGGCGAGCCTCATTGTGACAGATCGACTGATAGTGCAGCTGCCGCGCTATCAGCTGTGAACTTGGCTTCAAGTTCAACAGCGTGTGTGCTATTTTTAACCCCGCTGGAGAAATAAATGGACGACTTTGCGCGCCGTTTTTTCTGCAAAGTGCAGCCAGATCTTTGGCTGCCTATTTTTTCAGTGGTTCAGAGGATTTAGGACGGTGTCAAACGACGATCATTTGAGCCGTGACATTAAACTCTCTGTTCCATATTGAAAGAGGAAAAAACAAATAGAAACCAACTCATTTTGTAGAATCTTATTTCGTTTAAACTGCCAGAAAATGTTATTTGCAGATATGTTCATGCAAAATGAATGTTTACATACAGAGATGCGACAAACGAATTGACAAAAAACATAAACATTACTCCCTCCGTTTCACAATGTAAGACTTTTTACCATTGCCCACATACATATAAATGTTAATGAATCTAAATACATGCATATGTCTAGATTCATTAACATCTAAATGAATGTGGTTAATGGTAGAAAGTATTACATTATGAAACGAGGGAAGTACTGTATATATGTACCCACGCCAAAAAAAAAAAAATCACACCACTATATCATCAGAAAAACTGGATACCATTACAGCCAAGATGGCGAGAAGGCGCCCGGCGCCAACCCGGCACGACGAACTCTTGACGTCCGAGGCGCCAAGCTCGCCTGCGCCCGGTGCGCCGTCGTTCGCCTTGTCCCCGTGCACCGGCGCCGGGGCCGGGGCCGGCACGGGTGCGACCTTAGGGGCGGTCGGGAAGATCTGCTCCGGCAGCAGCACCCTGTTCAGCGCGTACACCGCCACGGGCGACGTCGAGTACACGCTGCTGACGAGCTTCGCGGTGGCCCAGCCGGACTGGATGCGGACCGTCCCGGCGGCGTCAGTGACGTTCACGGCGTACTGCTGCCCGCCGGCGAACGTGGGCGCCGGGCCCGACGCGGCCAGCGCCGAGAACGACGAGAGCGGGTGGTACCGGGGCACCCCGTGGCACAGCATGAGCGTGCGGAGCTGGTCGGCGGTGAGGTTGGACAGCGCGGCGCCGCCGCCGACGGCCGCGAACGCCGAGTCCTCGGGGGCGAACACGGTGACGCCGGGGGCGCCGGCGGCGGTGTCGTTGGCCTGGCTCTGGAACGTCGTGATCACGCCCGTCTTGGTGAGGTAGCCCAGGAACGTGCCGTACGGCCCGGCGAGGGAGAGCAGCTCGGCGAGGTCGACGTGGCGCGGCGCCGGCGCCGGCGCGGGGGCGTCCGCTGTAGCTAGCCTCTGTGACAGCGCGACGCGCGGGAGCAGGAGCGCGAGCGCGAGGCACAGCGCCGCGACGGCGAGCACGGCGGATTTCAGCTCCATCGTCGCTGCAGAAATCTCGCCTACGTATTACGTAGTCGTGTGCAACGCCAGCAACTGCACCACCTGAGTGAGGCCGCGACGAAGCCATGTGCCGCAGAAGAATTTATAGTGGATGAGTAGCTGATCGATCGAGTAAAAAAATGGTGAAAGTATAACCCAGCTTCGGGTAGGTTGTCGCTGTCGAGTGGTCAACCTTCAGACCCCGAACAGGATAGTACAATTCGGGAATGTTTTACTAGTAGCTCCGACAGTTTGAGATTTGTTTATAGTACTGTAGTAGAGAAGATGGAGAAGAATGTCCTGAAACTAATTGGCACCGACGGTCAGCACGGAACAGACGTGGGAGCTGACACTAATTAAACAGATGGCAAGTCGATCCGCGATCCAATTATGTATCCGACTCCACTCTGATTGTCAACTTGTTTAAGTACCACATCCACACGTGGGTGACGGGGGCATCGTGCAACCGACGATACTCGTTTCTAATGCTCTGACGCTGATACATTCGCCGGAGCAAGCAGCTCCAGGTAGGATCACACCACCATTTTGGCCGTTCGTCCATACGTCCACAAAAAGCTTCACATGCCCGATCTTTCGACGGATAGATGGCGACGTGCGTGCCCGCAAGCGTTTCGCGGTTGTTCTGGGCGTATATACGTTACTGGTCCGCCACTTTTCCGTGTCTCGCCGACGTACAGACAGTGGATGACTAGAACGATCTTTGTTTAGCGAATGACTCGAATGATTGGAAATAATTTGCAGGTGTCGGCACATGAGTTTCCCTTTTTTTTAATTGAGTAGCGTTGTCAGTCAACATGAACTACTCTCCTACTAGTAGGCCCTAGCTTTTGCATCCCTGTAGCCAGAGCAAACTGGGCCGGTTTGCAGACCGGCCCATAGCCCGGCCACATTATCAGACGGCCCAGCCGCGAAAAACGAGGTCCCAATTCCCAGAGAGCGAACAGAAGGATCTGTACAACACAAAGGGCCTGTTCACTTGATGCCATTTTCAACCTTACCAAATTTTAGTAAAATTGCCAAAAAAATAGCTATATTTAGTTTGCTGTCAAAATTTAATAACTATATAAGAAATCATGCCAAAAATTTGACAAGTTATCAAAATTTTAGCAACTATACTAAAATTTTGACATGAAAGTGAGCATGTCCAAAAAGGCGGAGCCGCGTCCACTCGGCCATGAATTCCTGCATGCCCGGCGTGGGCGCCATGTGACGTGTGAGGATCGGAACATCTCCTGCATCGCCGAGCTGCCACACAACCAAGTGCCAAATATGCCACGATGAGCTGCCAATATGACATGATGAGCATTGAGCTGACACAACTTCTTCCACGAGTACTTGTACACACCCCATTCCATCCCCTCCCACTGTCAAATTTATCTAAGATTTTCTTACCGAAAGTTTCTCTCTCTGCCACAAAATGGGGCAGAAAATGAGACGATTCAGTGCCTCCATTTCGTTTTTCTGCACTAGTGTCCATGCAACGTGTGAAGGGCATCAACACTTGACACACATCAGAGTATGCATCGGAAAGGAGGAACCGCATGATGGCGAGACCGCAAAAAAGAGAGGAGCCGGAAAAGGGGACGATATCACAAGAAACATCGACGGCGAAAAAGGCATCTCGATCGAGTTGTCTACCCATCCATCTCCATGATCAATTTGGTCCTGAGATCCATGTGCTTGGGATTTCTGTAGCTTGGGTTTGGGGGGGTGGCAAATGTCTGAAACCTCGATCAACCTGTCGATCTCCTCCTTTTGCCGATGAGAAGATTCCAAGATTATAAAATGGCCGAGCTTTTCTGGCACCAAGATCTTCGAGGGGCGAACTGGGCGGCTGCGGTCCACATCCACACAGCTAGCTGCACATGCCGCCGAATCTTTCTTCTCCCCAGCAAAGCTGGATAATGTTAGGTTCAGGTTACTTTCTTCTCCTCGACATTGCATCGGCCAGTTTTGGGATCATAGTAGTGCAGAAAATATCGGTGCTCCTTGTACGTATTCTCTTGAACGCTAGAAATGACGGCTTTTTTTTAGGATGGACGGGTACTTCTATCATTCTAATCCATGCGAAGTCCGTTTATTAATTCGTGGCCAGTTATTACAACTTGGGTTTGCTCCTGGGATCTGTAGAGATTGCTCGAGAAATAGTATCAGGGAGGGAGACAGCTCCCAACATGTCATGTGGCATCCACTTGAATGGAAAAGGACGCCGTTCCTTTGATCATCAAAACAAATCAAGCCCCGCTAATCTCCCGCCATCCTCGCTCGCGAGACACCGCAAACCCAATGATTTCGTTTCGTTAGCGCGTTCGTTCTTTTTTTTTTTTCTGTATCATGCAAGTCGATGCACAAAAACAGCTGTCTCTTCTGCAGCCTGTTCGATGATTGGACAATGGACACTGCGTACGTGTCGGTACAATCTCAAATAAAGTCTGAACTCGCATCACACATCTGTAGTACAAATTCATCCGTAGAGAGCTTCATGTAAAAAAACCGTGTGGGGTTACTGAACAAAATGGGGGTGATAATTCGCCGTAATGATCTTAACGCGAGCGCCATCACCGACTGCCATTGAAGAAGAAAACGCTTTGGCAAAGCTGGCTTCATGAGCTGTGCGTCCTTACGGCGAGGATTATTGATGAGTGGTAATTGTTTGCCGGTACAGGCAGCCCACTTATTCTCGCCGCGCGTGTAGCTTTTTGCCCATGGAGGGCTCGGTTTATAAAAGTTGCTAGGATGTAAGAAAACATAATACTCGTGCAGCGTACTGTGTGGTCATCGCTTTATCGCCCACTGGCTGGTTGGTATTAACTGGTGCAATTAACGCGGTAGTTAAGTCAAACGATGCGCGGCCGCTGATCGGCCGGTTTTCGTTTTTACTGTGCCAGATTCTACCGCTAAGAGCAAGGCTAATAATATAACTAATCTGTTGGCTATAAGGGCAAATATTATGGGCATCCAAGCACAATCTCCTAGATGCCACATAAGCTAAAATAGTGAGGTAGAGGATAGAAGAGATGAGAGAGATAAGCAGCCACCTCTCATGCAAGAGGCAACCACTACACAAAATTCAAGACAAAAGGAGGGAGGGGAAGAGTAGATTGGGCAAACAAACATTGGGGCTAGTGTATTAGAATTAGTATAGATGTGATATATTGTACATGTTACCTCTATATTTATTAGTTGATGATATGGTCAAGATTAGATGCAACATCCACCTCTTTTATAAAACTTGCCCTAAGGTTATTTATAGTTTTCTCTCAGCCCACTTATATAATAGTTAGCTCTTTAAAATTAATATAGGGCCCACTTGTCTCTCTCACAGAGTTTTTTTGGTTCTTGTGTCCAAGTCGGCTATAAGTTTACAGTCCGCTTCTCCTCTCTCTTCTCTTCTCTCATCCACCTCAGCATTTAGCCGGCTTATAGCCTACTATTATACTTGCTCTAAGAGTAGGTAATAATAGCAGACTATAAGCAGGCTATAAACACATATTAAAGAGATAAATGAGGAGAGATAAGAGAAACGGGCTATAAATTTGTAGCCAGCTACAACACAAACTACAAGACGCAATGTGTGTATGACAGGTGGGACCAGATATTACCAGTGTAATATATGTTTATAGGTACTCCCTCCGTACTTGTAAAGAAAGTCGTTTTGGACAGCGACACGGTCTTCAAAATACAACTTTGACATATTATTTCTATAGAAATATTTATTGAAAATTGATTAATGTATACTTTTATGAAATTATTTTTCAAGACAAATCTATTCATATAATTTTTACATTTTCAAACTCAACAACTTGAGAGCTATTCATGATTTATATTCCCAATGTTTGATTTAAACATTGTCCTAAACGATTTTCTTTACGAGTACAGAGGGAGTAACTATTAAATGAATTATCTATTTAATTGACTATAAATGATTTAAAGATGGTACTAGATGGCTATTCTATTAAACTTGCTCTAATCGGCCTGTCAAAGGCGATAGTGAAGATAGTAAAAGAAAAGAAACGAAGGCACAAACACAAACCCAAAGGCTGTGTTTAGTTCAGCGCAAAGTTTAGATTTTGGTTGAAATTGAAAATGATGTGACTGAAAAGTTGTATGTGTATAACAGGTTAATATGATGGAAAAAGACTGAAGTTTATATCCAAACTTTGTATCTAATCACAGCCAGAGGCTGAATCCAATGCGCGGCTCCTGAATATTGACATGCCTGGGACTCCGTGCTGCCTGCTTACATCATGGCCACCTGCGTCGGACGCACTGGTTTGCCCAAAATTATTGTCGTCCCGTCGTCCGAGTCGTGTGCCTCGTAGTAAACGTTAACGTGGCGGCGACGAATCCCGCGACGGATCCCGTCGTCCTCCACGCCACGCGCGAGGAGAGGCTATCCCCGGCTCTCCGCTCCACGCCTCTCTACCTACCCATCTCGCGCGCGGGGACAGGCGATTTTACGGCGGAAAACGCCGTGGAGACCGACAGCCGCACGCACGCACGCACGCCCGCACGCCGGGATCCGAGGATCCGAGGACGTGCGCGCCAGTCCGCCAGCCAGCCAAGCCACAGCCCCCTCGAACGCCCGATGACCCACCCCCACCGGGTGATCGTGATCGACCCGGTGCGTCGGCGTGCCAGTGGTGACTACCCGCGCATCCGGATCGTGGCGCACCGCGCGTCGCCATTATTATTCCGCCGGGACCCCGTCCGTCAGGGGTTGTCAGCGGCGCGCAGGCCCTGGCGCTGGCGCTGGCGCCCCGCTCCCCTTCACTCCGGGACGCCACGCGACATCTCACTTCCAGTTCCAGATCGCCTCGTCGGCATGACGTTATCCGTCCCGAAATAATCTAATATCGATGAGATGTGATATTTATCTACTTTAGTAGTATACTTCCTCTGTCCCAAAATATAAGTATTTTTAGACCCTGATTTGGTTTTTGAGATGCTATTTTAACCAACAATATCTATAAAAGTAATATGTTTTAAACAAAAAGAGTTGTATATTATGATAGTTTGTTTAATAATAAATACAGTAACATCAATATTACATGATTGATCTTTTTTTTATTAATGGTTAAAGTTAAAAAAATGTTGATTTGTCACTATGCTAAAAATACTTATATTTTGGAACTGAGGGAGTAATAAATATAAACAAATGATTATCAGGTTTATTGTATTAGAAAATATCACATCATATCCTAAGTTGGTTTATTTTGCGACGAAGGGAATAGTAGAGTGTTTTTTTCATCTTAAAATATAAAACAATGAAACATACTACTCCGTCCCAAAAGAATCCAATCTTAGCAACGAATCTGAAGAGTAGAAAAAAAATCCCATTTGATATTAGATTTTTATGTTTTGGGACATAAATATTAGTATAGTACCCCTCCTTCCCAAAATATAAGCATTTTTAGCATAGTGTGAAGACAAGCATTTTTAACTTTAACTATTGATAGAAAAATTAAAAAATATTAATCATGTTAAATTGATGTTATTAGATTTATCATTAAACAATTTATAATAATATACACATCATTTTCCTTTAAAATATTTTGCTTTTATAGATGTTGTTGATCAACGCAGTATATCGAATACCATGTCAAAGTGAGACACTATTTCTCTTTTCAGTCTGGGGGTTTAAACTATTTGTCACTTTTAGATTTGGTAAATAACTATTTGCCACCTCTATCTCCACATGTGTCTATGACATGTGAGTCCAGTGGTAAAAAGTTAATTGCCACATCTAAATGTGGCAAATGGTTAAATATCTCTTTCAGTCTCACAGTGAAAATTGTCGCAATTACCGGGCCTCGTAGGACCTTACTTGGCGCCAATAAATGACAAGGAAAAGAGATTAAAGAACAAACAGTCCTGGGAAGCATCAATGGGGGCTGGACTCCGGTGTCCTGAGGCAGATACATCTCATTATTTGACCACCACCACCACCACTACTACTGCCAACGCCCACCACCTTCCCCCTCCTGCTCGCCTGTGTCTCCTCCTCCCATCTCCCCTCACAGCTCAGTGCCACCCCGGCAAAAGTCTCTCCATCTTGTCATCGTCTTCTCCAGCTCTCGATCGAGCTCTCGACCGAGGCAATACAAAATCCAGGACAGGCCATTGCGCCGGCCTGCTGCTCCCCGAGGATTTTTGTTTGATTATTTGCTGCCTCCAGTGGGTTGGGTGTTCTTGGGGGGCTCTGTTTCCCGGGGTGGTGCTTGTTGGTGAGCGTGGTGTTCTCCGGCGGCAATGAGGGGCAGCCATGTCTGCTCCCTGGTTTCCTCCCTCGTTTTCCTGTGGCTGGGGGTTGCTGCTGCGCAGAAGGCCTCTTCTTGGAAGACGCTGAGCGGTACTACATTCCTTCGGGTTCTGGTTTACTTTCTTTCTGGTTCATTTCTGTGGTGTGCCGCGATGTGAATGAGCCGAACTGTAGCACTTCCGTTGGTCGATAGAGCAACATTTTCCTTGCATTTTTGGGCATCAAGTTTGGGGATGATCTGTAGGACGTGTTCTATGTTCTGCTTAAAATTTTCTTCTTCTTCTTCTTTTTCATCATTGGCACCACATTGATTTCGTTCTTGCACGGTAACATAGTTCATTTCACCCCCGTTTAGCATTGTTCCAACAGCTTATTTAGCTAAGTACATTGTTTTCTTAGATGTTGGGTTGAAAAGATTGGGACCAAACGACCAAAAACTGGCCCTTTAATTATTTCTTCTCCTGGGTAGCATAGGCTTTCTTTACCTTATCAGGGTAGTTTTGTGGAGATTAATCATAGTACATGCAATTTCTGTGAAAAAGCCTCTTTTTTTTTATTTTGGGAAGGATAAAAAAATGGCACCGCAGCATTCAGAAGTTAGGACCTAACCATTGCAGTTAGGAGTTATGCTATGCACGTCTACAAGGCTAACGGTCAGCTCACCATTTCAGGCAATGCTCCGGCAATCATAGCCAAGGGAGGATTTTCAGGCATATTCCCCGATTCAAGCGAATTTGCGTACCAGTTTGCGCTCATTGCTAGTTCGCCAGATACAATCCTATACTGTGATGTTCGGTTGACCAAGGATGGTCTTGGTATCTGCCTGCCGGACATAAAGATGGACAACTGTACCAATATTCCAGATTTCTATCAACAGGGTAGGAAGAGCTACCTTGTCAATGGCGTGTCGACGGCGGGATGGTTCTCCGTTGATTACAATGGCACCGAGCTTGGCCAAGTGTCTTGTAAGTGCTATCATACCGATCTAAGCTCCCAGATATTGGAGCTTTGGTGCATTTACTAATGCCAATATTGGATTAGGAAAGCGGAATACCTATTGTATTAGTTTACATGTCTAACTCATCGTTGTTGTATGTATTTTGTGCAGTGAAGCAATCAATCTTTTCTCGCTCGCCGAGGTTTGATCCAAGCTTCTTTCCAATTCTTGCTGTCGAAGACATAGCATCCAAATTTAAGCCTCCTGGAATGTGGCTCAATGTCCAGGTACTGTTACAAATCTTGACGTGGCACAGTAGGTTATGTTGCATGTATTTCTGTTGTCACTTGTCACTAAAAGCAATTTTTGCCATTTGCAGCATGACAGTTTCTACAGTCAGTTCAATCTAAGCATGTCAAACTACATATTTTCTGTGTCAAAACGTGTTATTGTTGACTATATCTCATCACCTGAAGTGAGCTTCCTTACTAAAGTATCTGGAAAGCTTAGCAACAACACGAGGCTTGTGTTCCGTTTTCTCGATGAGAGCACAATCGAACCATCTACCAAACAGACATATGGATCCATGTTGAAAAATCTTACATTTGTCAAGACATTCGCATCTGGTATAATTGTCCCAAAAAAATATATCTGGCCTGTTTCACCAGATAATTATCTGGAACCACACACTTCAGTCGTCGATGATGCTCATAAAGCAGGGTTGGAAATTTATGCTGCCGACTTTGCCAATGACTTTATGTTCAGTTACAACCATAGCTATGATCCATTAGCAGAATATCTCTCATTCATTGACAATGGTGCTTTCTCTGTTGATGGAGTATTGACTGATTTTCCTGTTACACCTTCAGAAGCCATAGGCAAGTCCTTTTTGTCTATATCATTGCGGAAAGGCATTTTTGTTCTTAAAATTTTGAAACACTCCTGATGATGTTGTTTCGTCCTTTATTTTGCTGTGCAGGCTGCTTTACTAATCTGAAGAAAAGCAAAACAGATCATGGTATGTTCAATTTCACTCTCTTGTCTATGTTCCACGTTTTTTTTGTTACTGACCACCATTTTCACATCTGGTTTGCAGGAAAGCCTCTAATTATTTCCCACAATGGTGCTAGTGGGGATTACCCAGCCTGCACTGATCTAGCTTATCAAAAAGCAGTTGATGATGGTGCCGATGTCATTGATTGCCCTGTCCAATTGACCAAAGATGGCATACCAATATGCATGAGTTCCATTAACTTGATGGATGATACTACAGTTGCAAAATCACAGTTCGCCTCTCAGACAGCAGTAATCAAAGATATTGAGAGTGTGCTAGGAGTCTTTACCTTCAACCTTACTTGGGATGACATCGTAAAGAATCTGAGACGTAAGTTAAATTGAAACATTTCTACCTATTTATGTGTTATGAATAAAATGGATGTGTTATCCTAGGGAAATAAGACTATTCATTTTCATTCTTGCAGCCAAAATCTCTACCCCGTTTAGCTCCTTCAAACTGGACAGAAATCCAAGATATAGGAATGCGGGGAATTTCATGAGATTATCAGACTTTCTGGACTTCACAAAGGATAAGGATTTATCAGGAATTATGATCAGCGTGGAGGTGAAAATTTTAATGCTTGTTTCAGTTTATGAACATACCTACATTTATTTGTTTATTTCATTACTTTATCGCAATGTTATTGCTGTCCTTTTACTTCTGTTGAATCACTAGTCTGTTCTGTCAATCATTGTTTTCCCCCCTTCACATTTCAGTGTTTAAGCCTACCAACAAAAACCCGTGAACCACCATCTGAAAATGTGTTTTTTTATTTTTTTTGCTGAATTTCAGAAATAGCTACTACTCTCAATTAACTACCTACCCATATGTTTGCAGCATGCTGCTTTTGTGGCGGAGGAACTTGGGTTTGACATGGTAGACTCAGTTATCAAGACCCTCGATGCTGCTGGTTACAGCAACCAAACTGCCCAGAAAGTTATGATTCAGTCAAGCAACAGCTCGGTTTTGGTGAAGTTCAAGCAGCAAACGAAGTACGACCTTGTGTACATGATCAACGAGGAGGTCAAGGACGCCGCGCCTTCTTCCCTCGCTGCCATCAAGAAGTTTGCCGATGCCGTTTCCGTCGAAGGCAACTCTATATTCCCCGAGAACCGCCATTTCACTACCTACCAGACCAACCTCGTCGAGTCCCTGCAGAATGCCGGTCTCCCGGTCTATGTTTACACTCTCATGAACGAGTTCGCTTCTCAGCCATACGACTTCTTCTCGGACGCGACCGCGCAGATCAATGCGTATGTTCAGGGTGCTGGAGTGAATGGCGTGATCACAGATTTCCCGGCAACAGCACGGAGATACAAATGTATGTCTGGTTAACTAAGCTTGTCTGCATCCTAGATACTACCTCCGTTTCAGGTTATAAGACTTTCTAGCATTGCCTATATTCATATAGATGTTAATGAATCTAGGCACACATATATGTTTAAATTCATTAACATATATATGAATGTGGGCAATGCTAGAAAGTTTTATAATATGAAACGGAGGAAGTAGCTCCCAATATCCCTGCACTTCTAAAATTTCTGTTCTTCTGAGTGCTGACACCATCCGTTCCGTGTTTTTGCAGTGAACACCTGTATGCACATGGGGAACAACACGCCGAGCTTCATGGCCCCGGCTCGCCCGGGTGACCTGCTGCAGATCATCAGTAAGCCGGCGCAGCCGCCGGCGATGTCGCCGATGCCCCTCCTGACGGGCTCGGACGTGGCGGAGCCGCCGCTGCCGCCTGCAAGAACAGCTCAGGCGCCGTCGCTCGCGAGCAGGATGCAGGCTCATGCCGCGATCGTCGTCACATTGGCGATGCTTCTCGCTTGCCATCCCCTGGTATGACCGGACAACGCAGCAGGTTCACAAGCCAAAATACTAATCCAGTCTGTTTGTTCTGTTCTTTCTTTTTTTTTTCTTTTTTTTTCTCATGTAGCGATTCGTTTCATCCTCATGTATTTTTTTTTGCATTGATGATCGTCCCCGATTTGCCTATTACTGTCCTCAGTGGTCTCAGTATATATGTGTGGTATGAATCTAAATACATACATATGTCTAGATTCATTAATATCTAAATGAATGTGGGCAATGCTAGAAAGTCTTATATTGTAAAACGGAGGAAGTAGTAAGTAGTATCTGAAATTCGGATGCTGTATTTCTCTCTCACGATCTAATGCCTCGTTGTCAATTTTGTCACTTTGGTCAGAAGTATGAACTGACCGTTCATGGAGAAGAGTGTAAAGTGTAAATAGCTCGCTCTGTGCTGCTGTGCTGTGCATAATTGATCTGGTTCGTGAATGGCCAAAAATGGTACTACTACAGGAATATAGTAGTAGTACTACCTAAGCTACTTACCAGTATGAACTGCAGAAGACAGCAAGCAAGACACTATCACAAGTGCTCCATTAACGGTCACTCCGATCAGAGCCTAGCAGCAAAGAAGACCTGACTCATCATGCATTGCCTCAACAGCTACCTAAATCGATCGAGATCGAATCCACCACGCGGATCATATTTCGTTCCCTTTCCTCAACGATCCTGAATGCTCTGAACCTGGTCAGTCAGTCCGAATGTTTCTCAGATTACCAACCTCTGCTCTGCTCCCTCCACCCATCAAACCCCCTTTTGTCCACCGTAAAGCCGAGCCACTTGGCCACTCCCGCCACTGGCCCACTGTGCATGGCTTATCTTATCCTGCCTTACCCGGCCTTCTGCTGCTACTGCTGGATCCCCTCCTAACCATACGGTTATTATGAGATATACCATGATTTTAAAAACTGAAAATGTTACCGCACGTGATAACTATAGAAACCGTGTCGTTTTGTAAACCCTGCTCGAGGCACATACGCACCGCGCAACACCAGCGTCTCCTCATCGGTCAAGATCCGTAGGCTGAACCCACACTATGCACTATACACGATGCTCGCCAAGGATCATCGCAGCCATAAAAGTAATTTGTGCTTTGTCACGGTCGCACGGGAGAGTGGCGCTTTTTTTCTGGTAAAACCTAGGAAGGGATCCACCGTTCCAACATGCGTTACATGGCTACATCTGGTGAGTCACATATCGTGGCATCCGAAGAGAATCGAAGCACGTCGAGTGGCTGCGCTTTGTTTCTACTTTTGCATAGGATCCTGAGTGTAACACGCGAGTCTTTGCGTGAAGAGATCAGGGTGTGATATACGGTTAATATGCATATCTTTTTCGGTTTTGCTCTTTCACTTGCGACGGATTTTTGTGTTTCTATCTTTTGAATTTTCATCCATATGATTTTGCACCAAGATTCGTATTCGTATCAATCTAGCTTACAGTTACACTCGATTACATAGCAATTACACTCATTCACGTGCATTAGAATTATATTTCTATAACTGTGTTTGCCTCCAAATTTACCATTTTTGGCATGTTTATCCTTTTTTTCGTTATTTCATGCAGAACATGTTGTAACATTCGGTCGGAAATTCTGCAAGATTTAAAACTCCAATCCATCAAAAGATCAACAGATAGTCTCTATATTTTTCCCCCCTTTGAAACGGATGGCAAGGAGAAGTTTGTGAGGAAGTACCAATCAGGATTCAGAAGAGTAGCAACAACATCCTAGGCATGTACAGATTACTACCCCACTCTATACACTTCAGCAACTCTCTCTCCATAGTATACATGGTAGGTAAGTACCAACACCAACCATGTCGAATTGTCGATCAAACCACACATCACAAGTTCACAAAAACCGTAAACAATGGGTAACACCGCACACCCACCATGGCCTGTATTTGCACGTACCACGCGAATCGTTGCACGCGCGTACGCGGCGTACGTGCGTACGTACGCACGCAGCGCCTACCCGTAGATGGCGTAGCGCATGCTCTCTCGCACCACGAGGTGGCGCCCGGCCTCGTCGGCGCGCGGCGGCCGCCACCCGCTCGTCGCCCACGCCTCCTCCACACCTCCTCCTCCTCCCACGTCCTCGCCGTCGAGGCGCCGCACCACGCACGACATGGCGAGCAGCGCCCTCGCCATCAGAGCGCCTGCCCCGCCCGCCGCCGCCACGCCGCGCCCGCGCGCGTCGTCGTCGTCGCCCGCGCCGGCGTGCCCCCCGACTAGCGCGCTCTCGTCCACCACCCGCGCCGTCCGCCTTCGCCGCCGGAACAGAGACAGCACGCCCCACATACCTTAGCTACCTTCTCACTCGCTCTCTCTTTGCCTCGAATAGCTAAGCTTTGGCTTCTTGCCGAGCTCGAGATACATCGATCGCAAGCTTGGTGGTTTATATACACGCACGCGCGCGCGCACGGGCGGACGGAGAGACAGAAGAGAGCAGAACACGATTGATTGATCGATCTTTACTTGCAAGCTGCAACACAGAGCGCACGCTAAGGAACACAGGGAAACCGGACGGGGTCACTCATGGAAAGGCGAAACCGCGAAAGGCTTAGATGGATGAGTGGTGGTGGGGGAGAGAGAGGAGCACTCGCGCAAAGCTAGCTGAAAAGGGGTATCCATCCATCGATCGATGGACGAACGATGGCTACACCCTACACGAGCCGAAAACAGCAGCAGCCTAAGCTAGTTAATTAAGCTCGACATTCCCAATACTCCAAGCTGATGATCTCCATCTCCCTAGTACGCTTGCACGCATCTCGTCTCCAATCTTCCAGCCATGATCCGGGGTTTGTACTTGCATCATATCATAAAAAGAAAATAATCCCGGTGTTCTTTAAACACGGTCGTTTTTGCCGTGCCGTGGATAAAAAAAGGCCATGATTTGAGATGGGCGGATGGGCGCTTATCACTTTTGCAAAGCTACTACCCTTGCCCGGAGTGCTTATCGGCATATTATGCTACAGTGTGCTCACAGTTCAGAGATAGATGCAGTACGTACTGATCGATCGATCGATCCATCCATCGCAAGTTGCGTGCGTATCCAGAAAGGTTGCAAATTGCAAAGGTGAGGAGGCCTTTTTTTGGGGCGTACGAGCCGTGAAGACGGCGCACCAAACCCAGCCGCTGCTGACTGCTTAGAAAGTATAGATGCCGGGTGATCTGGACGTTCGCTGCACAGGCTGATAATTAAGCAGCATGTACTCTACTCCTACTGCGTAAATACTGTCACGTTGGATTGTTCCATGACCATGATGAGTGAGACGATGAGCGTGGACGTGTATGGTGTGTGGTCGTGTCACGGTGCGTGACTCTCCTCCAGTTTTGTGTTGGGCCAAACGGGAATCGTGGGCTAAAATCTAGGACGGGTCAAGCCCGAATCCGTGCCTGTCACGTCTGCTGCACCAGTGCATGTGTCGTCGTCGTCATCAAGGACGGAAACTCAAATAAGGCCGAGCTTGTCTCCCGACACGAAAAATCAAGCCAAAGATTAATGTATAATTAAGAGAGAATCTATTTTATGCCATTTAGTTTATCACCGTTCGACAATTTGCCACTAATATTATCTTTCTATAATATACTGACGACTTTATCAATTGTTCTACATTATACCATTAGGATGAACATCTTTCTAAAAATACCCAAAATACCCCCAGAGACATACATGGTTATCAAATAATTTATCTCACTAGAAAGTTTTAAAAAATATGAATTTTTTATATGGCCTCCTTACACAACTGAGAAGTATGTACATAAGTTTCAATTTGTTTTTGGTATTTTTTTAGAAATTTTTTTTGTGTGATATATCATAGATAAATAGCTTACACAGAAGATAATAGCAAAAAAAAAAATCTTATGTTGCATATGAAAGATAATTTACATTAAAAATAACAACACAAAAAATATTTTATATAGCATATAACAAATAAGTTTTTTTAAAAATATAAATGAAAAAAGTTGAAACTTATATACAAACTTTTATACTGTGTAAGGAGGCCTCATAAAAGTTTTCATTTTTTTTTGAAATTTCTAACTATATAAATCAACTGTTAACCTTATATGTCCATAAGAATATTTTAGGTATAATTGAAAAATAAGCCCAACTCAATGGCGTATTGTAGAACAATTGATAAAGTCGCCAGTATATTGTAGAAAGAGACAAAGTTAGGGGTAAATTGTTGAACTATGACAAACTCAATGGTATAGAATAGATTTTCTCTATAACTAATTATTAGCTAAAAACTTTAGAAATAAATTGAAATATTTTTTATAGATTTTTTTAAATGTATATTTTATGGGATCACCTATACATTTGTCGATAACTTTTCTCCTATAAATTTAACAGATGTAATTATACTACAATTATGATGTAATTATATTGTAACTTACATGTAAATTGTATATAACTTTCAAAAATCTCTCTGTAACATGCTATTACGGTGAAACGAAGGTCGTGGGAACAAATACTCTCGCATATGTGCGCTTAGTGACTTTTTTCCGTCTTCACTTGCACAAATCTGAATATAATTTAATGGTTTAAAATTATGTGGAAGTTACATGCAAGTTATATTGCAGATACATGTAAGTTATAGTGTAACTACATGCAAGCGAGTTACAGTATGACTACATGCAAGTTACCGTGTAATTACACTTATCACATCTGTTAATTTTTTAGAAGAAAATTTATCAATAAATATATATCAAAATTGATATTTTATTATTGGAGTTAGTTTAGAAGGTGTGTGTGTGGAAAAGGATTGAAGTCGGGAAAGTTGAGAGCCTAACCCGAGCACGAAACGTAACGGATTTGCTAAATTTCTGGCACCATAAAATTTCATTGATTGCAGTCGGTTTGCATGCCTATGCACTATGCCACACAACCTCACAGGCCTGAGGCCTCCCAACTGTGCTTCCGTGTGGTTGAAGATTATTTCCACACATAAATCATAATGAGTGATGATTATATATTAATTACATATATGCAATTTCGAGACTTACATGTAATTTTGAGACTTACATTATAAATACACTAAAATTATATATGTAATTTATAAACTTATGATGTAAATATACACCGACTATTTTTTATTAAAAAATATGGCGCAATAAATATAGATACTCCCAAACATAATACGCGCCGGTTCCAACTGACCCCGTCACATCGCGCGCACCGCACCGGTCGCGCACGTACGCGACGCGACGCGAGCCGCCGTTTGCCGCAGCAGCGCAAGAGAAAAGAAAACCCCGTATAAAAATAAAGAGAGAAAAAAAAACCCAGCAGAAAACACCGCCTCTCTCTCGCTCTCTCTCTCTCTCTCTGCCTCCCTCCTCCCCCTCGGCCCGGCGCCGCGCCGCTCGGCCGCGACGAACCCTCGCCTCCCCTCCTCCACCCCGCCGCCCGCCGCGGCGGCGCTCGCGGTACGCGGGATTGGGAGGCTGCGGCGGCGGACACGGCGGCTGGAGTGAGTGGTGGAGCGGGCGGCGGCGGCTGGGAGAGGGGCGCGGGTGGGGAGAGGGGCGGGGGCGGCGGAATCTAGGGTTGAAGGGGACGGGAGGGTTGGGTGCCGCGGCGGGGGCGCCATCATCCATCGGTATGGACGATGATGGCGGGGAGAGGACGTTCAAGGCGAACTTCACCGGGGAAGGGGTGAGGCTGCTGCGGGCGCGCGTCAAGGAGAAGCTCAGGGAGCTCATGGGCGACTACTCCGACGACACCCTCGCGGTGAGCACCCCTCCACAAACCCTACCCCACCCACTCGATCGTCTCGTCTGCAGCGCGATCTACGATCCGTTTGCTAAAACCCTGGCTGGCGGTGGCGTGTGTGGGATTAGATTCCCGTCGTGGCTGGCTGGGGGCACACGCCGTGTCGGTGTATGTGGATTTCTGGGGCTCGCGTGAGATTTTGGAATTGGTTTCGTTTTAGATTCGTTTGCGCCGCCGTCCTACCTGCATTTGTCTTTATTTTGGTTCCTCTGCTTTAAGGATTGAAGTTTTTTTAGATAATGGATTAAACTGGCCTCTACACCCAAAGGATGTACACAGCCTAGCTTTAAGGATTGGAGTAAGAAGCTTTCTTTTTTACCCATGTATGGACACTAGAGTGGATACTAAATAACTGGCGCTCAGCACCTGAGCAGCACATGGGATCGTGTTATGCATTTTTAATGAAGCATGGAACATTAGTTTAGCCAAAAATTATTGCCCGTTACGGCAGTTTCTTGTTAAATCAGTATTGCCTTGGTGAAATATCAGTCAGTTTGATGCTTTTATCGCTTAACTGGACTAGCAATTCTGTGTGCTCCCATTGTCAGAATATCTGCTTTGATGCCTAATGTATTTTCAATTTTGGGATGTTTTTCATGAGGTCTATGGAGGTTACATGGTCAGCAGATGTCGTGAAACTTTGTTGCTACACTATGAACAATCCACAGGAGTTTGTGTTTCCTTTTTGCAGTGTAGAAACCTATGATCCATCAATATTGATGATCTAACGATTTCATTTTGTTGATCAGGAGTATGTTGTGGTATTGCTCAGAAATGGAAGACGGAAGGATGAGGCTGCAAAAGAGCTGGAGGTTTTTTTGAGTGACAACAACGAAGCATTTGTATCCTGGTTATTTTCTTGCCATCCAAATTTTTCTAAACTTTTTTTAACCATGCGTATTTTGTTCTAAGAGCTCTGAGAAACTATGGCCACGCAGGTTATGGGACCACCTCTCCTCAAATTTGCACCTTTATGTGCAACCCAAAGCTATCTCTTCAAATAATGAAGTTAATAGTACTCGGAGTAATGCTAGAGGAATGCCTGCACAAAATATGACTAGCAGCACACAAGCTATTCGTGAACCTGTAGCTGGCACTCAGAAGACAACGGGAATTCATCAGAGAAGGGAGTGGGGAGGAATTGTTCGAGACCAATCAGAAACAGTTCCCCTTCGAAGTGTTGTAACTACTGTTTTGCATGCAGAGGAAAAGGATGTTAATAAATCACATGCCAGAAGACGAACCCACTCACCTGACATGCATCACCAAAGAAAGAGAAGCAGAGAAGATGATGAACGGCAAATCAAGGTCTCTAAGCTCCTCTCAGTCTGAATTTATCTTACAAACATGTCCAGTAGTGCATATATGAATTATTAAGTTGTGTCATGAAACACATAATTTCCTATTGATAACTTAATGTTTTGAACGTACACTTTTCTCTAGCCTTGGTATTAAGCCCACTGAACCAACCTACCCATAACTTTTATTTGTGTAATATTAATGCTCAGATGATTAAATTGTGCACTTCTCAAGTTAACACACCTATATTATGACAAGTTCTTTTTATTTTGGAATACTGTTGTTGTTGTTGTTGTTTTGTCTCTGGGGGAAAAAATAGAGTAATGGTGCAAACCTAACAGAGTAACAGCTATAGAATTTACGTCCCATTTATTTTGGTTACTGATATACATGTCCTGTTTTCTCCTTGCCATCACTGGTTAATTTATGTTAACTTATTTGAAGTTTAAACATCCTTGTTTTCGAAATGGATTGTGATTTGGAAAACCTGCTTGTGTTGGTCTGCACTGCTACTTGTAATTAATCATCATTATGCGTTTCACCGTTTCTTTCCTTTTCCTCTTTTTCTAACTTGTAAACCCAGTTCTGTTTATCAAACCCCATTATAGGATTTGTAGGAGTATTAATCTTCTACTTTTTTTTTGTTGCTTAGTGGAATAGCCCTCTTATATACAATCTCTAATTCCATTTTATTATGCTTATTTTGGATCCCCTTTCACGTATAATTTTGGCCTCAACTTGAAACCTGATATTCAAAGCCCTGAACTTCCACAGTTGGATCAACTTCAACCATGACAGTAGGATCTGCTGTGCCCTTTTCACATAACCTGGTTTGTGCTATTGTGGCACTATAGTCAGCAGCACATGTGTGGGCTTAGCCAATAAACAAAATAACATTTGACTGCCTCATACATATCAAGAGGCAAAAAACCATGAATAACTATGGCGGTATGGTATACACTCAGGGTGTTGTTTGCACCAGATCTTGAAGTTTGGGGGTTCTTGATTCTTAGATGAAATCCTTATTCATAGTTGTGGGTGAAAAATGGACTCTCTGATAGTTAGGGGTGAATTTCCCATCCTTGTCAGTCTCAATGACTAATAAAAATATAAGTTTGAGATATCCGTTGAAGAGAAAACCTATAATGCCCAATTAGGGGTGGGCGTGCTTCGGGCCAACCTACTGGCCTCGTTGGCCCGTCCCACAAATCTGGCTTTAATGGGTAGGTGCACTGGCTCTAGACTTAAAAGGCCGGCTCCGATGGGTGGGTGGATCGGCTTCACGAGGTACCACGTCATACTCCATCCAAGGCATCGATCCCCAATTCTCCATCGTGCTCGCACCATCACACATGGTGGCAGCGCCCTCCTCCCTTCCTAGCATCCACTCACCACCACACCGGTGCCACGCCGGCGCCCTCTCCCTTCTCCTGACCTCTACATCAGTGAGCCGGCGATGCTTCCTCCCTCCCTCCTCCCGCCCACGCTAGTAGCGCTGCCTGCATCTTCCTCTACCTAATGCCGGCTTCTGCCACGTTGGTTGCGCACTCGCGCTACCCCTTGCACCAGCGCTGCCGGCGGCGGCGACTTGGCTATCATCCCACACAGCCTGCTGTGCACCCTGCTTCCCGACGTGGCCACACCGTCGGCCGTCCCTGACCTTGCTGGCATGAGCCAAGCTGCTGTATCTCTTGTTTGCCTGTGATATCAAAGCTGATGAGCTGATCTCTTGTTTGCCGTCAAAACTTGCTTGTTCATTGATTCGTTTTTGTGAATTTTGAAGCTTTTGTCATGTACTAGCACTGATGTATCGGGTAGCAAAAAAAAAGAGAGTTTCAATGTGTTTCTATTAAAGCCAGTAATAATTAATTAAGCATCTCCAATAGAAAAATCAACAGATTATATTCTACTACATTCTTTCACTTGATTTGGCATGTTTAGTGTCTTCTAGCAAGAATCTGATTTTTTTTGCATGGGTCGACTCATGGTACCCAGTGGATCCCAGTGGGTCAACCCATTGGCATTGTTGCATCCTAGGTGAGTTTCATGGGGCGAGTCTGATCAGACCGCCCCGGACCATGCCCAATCATGTAAGTTCTTTGGAGCATCCTAGATACAAAATTAGTGAATTGAGCTATCGTGTTTTTATTTGTGTTGCCACTGTTTATTTATATCATATCATTACCATATATGATCTGTGACTACTGATATCATTCAATGCATAGGAGATTCTGTATTCCTCATCCTCGTTCTTATTGGTATCTCATATTTTTATATCTTTTCAGAGAACATCACACCAAGATATTGATGCACCACGCCGGCTTCTTCAGTTTGCTGTTCGGGATGCTGTTAGACCTGTACAGCCCATAACCCCTAGGTCAGAATCAGCATCCAAACGACTTCGTTCTGTGGTGTCTACCATGCCATCGGATTCACCACTTGATGTCAGACTGCAGAGAACAAATTCAGATGTAAGAGTACCTGGTGTCACCGCAGCAGCATTAAGAGCTGCAGCTGAGGCTGCTGAAGATGTTCTGAAGGAGAAATACTCTGGAAGTGTGTTTAGGAGATTGGGTAGAAAGGGCATGGTGAATGCTGCTGAGGAATCCTTTGGTTTCAGTGAACAAGGTCGAGAAAGAGAATATGGTGATATAGATAATGTCCAAGCAGAAAATCAACTAGATGTTCATGGAAGAAATCATTATGCAGGTGATGCTTATATGTATGACCGGGAGGCAGCCAAAGGCACTGATTCTGCATCAGATATCGATCGGCATGATGATACTGGTGCAGCTAGGTATAATGATTTGGTATCTTGCCGAAGTACATTGCCTTCTAGTATAGGCAAAGAATCAGTAGTAGCGGGGTTCAATACTGTTGAAGGAACTACAACCATTAGAAGCAGAAGGTCTATAATGCAGGACCCACATGCTAGTTCAGGGCGAGGACCATCTGAAAGGATTAACATGGTTAACAATATTACACAAAAGCCTGCCAACCAGGCAACAAGAAGGAATGCTGTGAAGATAGAGCCTCAAGTGCCCACAGAGATGAAACATACTGACTCAAGAAAGTCAACTGCGACACTTGCACATGTTAACAATACTCCAATGACTGACAAGTCCAAAGTAAGTTTCTGTACTTTCCAAGGGATAGCCGTTTCACGCATTTTGAAACTTTAAACTGGCTTGGCTCATGAACATCTACAGCATATGACAAATCTTTTCACATAGAATAAGCTTGATTTGTTGCACCAAATGTTTTAGTTCAGTCCTCACGTGCTCAGTATACTTGGAATTGTAATCTTAAGTTAAGGCATCCAGGCTTTAGCTTGGTTGGTATATCCTTCAACAAACTTTGACTTGCTAATTGATTTTAAAAAAATAACACTGTAGAGGGAGGACTGGAACTCCAAATTCATATTGTTAACCTGAGATTATTTTCTCTAAAACATGTGTTGGAAAACACGTCCCATGGGTTCGTAAGAACATACAGCACACACCATTTTTTATTCTTCTATCTATCTATACTACGCCACAAGCTTGACATCTGGGGCCATGAGGTCCCCACGCGTCAATGCTTTTGCTTTGATATGTCATCAACTAACTATGCTATAAACTTGCAATATTTTGCTTTTGCCTTTATCTCTTATAATATTCGTTGCAACGAACGGGCCTTTAGCTAGTGCGCAAATAATAAAGCGTGTCTGGGTTGTTGGCGTCTCCATTTGCATCTCTATTTAAGTACTCTTTATCTGTGTCTTCTGTCTAATCCTCTTACTTGAGTTTCTTCTGTGCTGTGACTTGTATGACGAATTTGTAATTAATTTTTTTCTTAAATTTTACAGGATTCAATGTGTTCAAGCTCTATGGTGGAGGAACAGAAGCTTCCATCACTTGGTATGTAGCACTTGAGTGTTGATTATCACAGCTACACGATGCATTGAGCTTTTATATCAGCACGCAACACCATGTTTGATTATGAGACACCTTTATTTAATTGAAAGTCATCATCTAAAACATCTCTACTGTGTAGACTTTTTAAACCCCTAACCTTACTTATTTTACATGTTGATTCTGTGGCTTTTTTTCAACACCCTCAATGACTCAGAAATTTTCCTCCTCTTGCCCCCTTCCAGCTGTTGGATCATGCAGTACAGGTCAGCCAGAAGGTGGCACTGATTCTAGAACAGTTTTTCTTTCCAATGTAAGTGTCTCGTACTACCATTTCATTTGTGAAGCTGAGAAGCTGCCTTTATTACTATTTACTAACGATTGTTCTCGTGTTTATAGGTACATTTTGCTGCTACAAAAGATGCTCTTTCCCGTCATTTCAATAAGTTTGGAGCTGTGCTTAAAACTCTTATTGTGACTGATATTGCTGGTCAGCCAACAGGGTATGAATTCCAAGTCTTCTCTTCATTCTGAAGCCTGAACAGCAGAGTTATTTTAGACATTATCCTCATTTTTTTTCTTTGTGTTGTCCATTCAGCTCAGCGTACATTGAATTCTTGCACAAAGAGTCAGCAGAACAAGCCCTAACTCTTGACAACACATCTTTTATGTCGCGCATGCTCAAGGTAAAACCCCATGTTGACCTTTCTATTGTGCACTAAAACTCTACAACTCTATTAAATATTGTGGATCGCTATGCAAGATCCAGCTGCTCTAGTAAGCTCGCTATAGTTTTATTTGTATGGGAGAATATATTAGTTGAGCTGCTTCACTGCACACAAATTGCCAGCTGAATTGTGTATTTATCGTTAGATCACTAGCTAAATACCCGCGCTTCGCTACGGATACAAATGAATTATGCATGTGCTAACATATTTTGGAACAAGTTTGTAAGGTTTTTGGAACAATATCATCCCTGATTCCCTGTGGATGTCTTTGCATGGTAAACTTAAATTCTAGAGATGAAATAAGATATTAACAATATGTAGAAGTACTGTTTTATAAAATTAAAGTACATAAAAGCATAGGTGGTAAAAAATACAACAGAGTTGGTGGGTGGCAGATTCACTGCCACCACCATTTTCTTCTTTTATAGATACCTGTTGGTAAACTGTAAAATAAAAAAAAATCATTGCCATTGCAGTCAAAACCTTTTCAGTGTTGTAATTCCTGGCAGAAAGATCCTTTTCAGTAGTTCCTCTTCATGGCTTGCCAAGTTGCCATGCATTCATGATCTCAGCAATTAATTGTGTATACTGCAGGTTGTTAGAAAGAACTCTCTCGAAGTGTCTCAACAGTCTGGCTGGCCCCGTGGTTCTCGGGGATCAACATTCCCTTCAAGACTCACTAGAACTGCATACCCAAGGCCAGCATTTCCTGGTGCTATGCGTGGGCGTCTACCACTCAGAGGTGGTGCTCGGAGCTTACAATGGAAGCGTGATAATGCTGATACTGTCGATGCGGCAAAACCTGGTCACAGCACACCTATACCTACCGGTAATCAGTTGATAAGCCCAGTTGTGCGGAGCTTCACCTACACACGTGCTGAGCAAAAACAGGACGTTGGTGCGACCATTTGACTGCTCCTGATGAAACTCGCAGAAAGACCTCAGAATTAGTGTTATCTCATAGTTCCTCCTCCTCTCGTAAATACTATTTATTTAGTTGCAGAGCTTAGTAACAGGCTGGTTTTTGGAACTGAATTTGAGCCATGTTCTGTGACCAGTTTTGTGTGCTTTTTTCCGGCCATCGCTCATGCTGTGCTGGCTACGCGAAGTTTGTGGATTGAAAAATCAGGGAAAAAAGAAAGGAAAGTAAAGGTTGTAGAATATGATGGGAACACCGCAACATTTAATATTATCGGTAGGTTATTCACCCGGCGCATTTTATTTATTGATTGATGTGATCATCTGAAAAAATTGTAGTACTAGTAATGCTATCCTGCTGCATCTTTTGGCTCCATGATTGCCTTCAAATCAGGCAATTTTGTACTGTACAGGCTACAAATTCTGGCTATTTCACCTGTGCTATTATGAATTGTAAACAGTACTAGTAGTACTCTGAAAGAATAGCCCAATTTTTGCTTGGAATCAACGAAAACTCACGGGTAGCTCAAATCTAAAAGGATTTTTCACGTTGACTCAACTCATGGAAGGCAGATGATTTGAGGACAAAGGACAAGAATCTGTGTCTTAGCCCTCGTCTCATTGTCCCCCTCCTGCTGTTATCTGCCAATCTCATAATTTATTATACGGAGTACTCGTACTTCTTTTGTTTGGACTTGTTGCTGGAACAATTTTAGTGTTGTTAACCATTAAGGTTTCAAATATCAGTGTAGTATTCTCTCCGTTCTAAAATTTACCATTTTGTCTCAAAATAAGTTAATCTAATACGAGATATGATATATTCAAGTACTAGATTCATAATACTAAAATATATCATATCATGTACTAGGTTAACTTATTTTGAGACAGAGAAAGCAAGTACTTTGGAGTTTTTTTATGATAATTAAAAAGTGAAACCGAATGAGTAATGAGTGTGATTGGTTGAAATGAGGGAGTTGGTGAAAAAGTTAAAGAACTGCTTTGGAACACATTAATGCAAAACACACGGAAACAGAAGAACTCGGGAATAGAATGTTGTGTTTATTGAAAATCCTATAGGAATTAAAAACACATGAAAGTTTTAAAACTATTGTTTGGATGACACTCACCTAAATCATAGGAACTTGTCATTGGAAGTGAAAAACATGAGGTATTCAAAAGATGCGCAAATCTTTCGCGTATTCTTGAAAAAAAATATATGAGGTAGAACCGTAGAGCCTCCCACTAAAATTCGTATGAAACAACTCATTCCCTAGGAATTTCAAAGAAATTTAGGAGAGCTATTCCTTTGTTCCGAGCAATCACATACTCCCTCCGTCCCATAATATAAAAACCTAGGACCGGATGAGACACTTTATGGTACAACGAATTTAGATAGGAAACATGTCCAGATTCATTGTACTATGAAGTGTCATATTCGGTACTAGATTGTTATATTATGGGACGGACGGAGTAGGAAATTAGGAATCAAATCCTTCAAAATTTCTGTTTACCTTTGTTCTAAAGGAGTTAAGGAGTCCATATTGTAAAACTAATTTCAAACACTAAAAATCTATATATTTGAAGACGGATGGAGCATTGTTTTACTAATTTCAATAAATCCTGTCAGGTTTGCCCAATGATTGAAGGTAACTTTTTCCCACAGGCACTGATTGCAGCTCATATGATTTGTTTGACAATGCATTGGAGCAAACTAAACCAATGATTGAAGGGGAGTACATGATTTTCATAAGGGTTGGTTCATTTCCTTTAATAAATTCCCCGTAAAATTCATATATTTGCATTGCGGATAAAATAACTGGGCGCCTGGGCGTACATGGTACAGCACAATCAAGTGCCTAGTACTGTAGTACAAAACTACAAACCATCCAAGGAAGTGACGCCATCACGTCTTTTGCGCGAACGAACGATCTCTCCCTCCCTCCCTCCCTGGTGGTGAACTGCACTGCACTGCACATCGTGTCGTCGTCCCCCGATGCGCAGGACAAGGGCGCCACTCCAACCTCCAAAAGCGCCTCCTGCTCCACCCCAAAAGTCCAAGCGGAGCACAGTGCAAAATGTCAGTGCATCCGACACCACAGCAGCCTGCCACATTGTACAACCCCCTGCACACGCCGCAGCTGACAATTCAATATTTTTAGGCTTTGTTTATCTGAAAGGTTGGATACCTTCCTCTGTAGTAAAACGTACGGTATGATTAATTAAGTACAGTAAAGGCTATGAAAACTAAAATATAAATTAATATGATTTTTAAAACAATTATATATATATATTAAAAATATTGTTTAATAGTTTAGAAAATATGATTGTGAAAAACAGGAAAGTAGAAGTTGGAAAAGAAAAAAAATAACACACACCCTTAGGCCATTCGATTTTATTTTGTGGTTTTCAAAAGTGCCACGTAATCTAAAGACGTTTGGATTGATGAATGAAACAAATGTCTCCAATGCACAATTTTATTTCTTGGTTTCATAGCACTCAATTATTGAATAGTTTTATGAAACTATTTGGTCACAGTGGGGTTTCATTTTCGTTTCCAAGGTAGAGGATGAAATGTTCAGTCACAGTGGGGTTTCATCCTGTTTCCAAGGCATAGGTAAACCATGTTTCATCTAGATGAAACTTATTCCTTCTTGAATTTCATGATATATCATCAATTTGGCTTACTTGGCATCTTATTTAATGAGATTAAAACTCTTTATGAAACATGCACTGGGAATAGCATTAGAGCAAGTTCCCTTTATAGTATAGCCAACTGTTATAGCTCTAAAAAATCTACAACTAATCTAATAACCTATTCATACGATAGTTTAATATAAATATATACTACACCATTAATACTTAGCTCATATCTCGTACGTACATAAAATCAAATCTTGGACCCCTCCTCTGAATAGGTATGTCCACATTTGTTAGAGAGGTCAATTCCCTTCTTTTTTTTTTTTTTTTGAAGCGGAGAGAGTAGGGCACAGTTGGCTAGGAATTCGTATCCCATTTTCTCTCCTCTCTTCTCTCATGTTCATGAATAATGCTTACTAGCATGATAGTACTACATTGGAGTACTTGCTCTTTTATTTTTCTCCATTGTCAGCATGGTCGGTCTACTCATCCGGACGCCCCGGAGAGTCGACAACCGTTGATCTGTCCATCGACGGCGCGGGATCCGCGCCCCGGACAGTGGTCAAGCCCTGCAGCGACTTGTCATTCATTGCGCTTCGGAGTCAACACTCTCAGCAGCAGCAGCAGCAGCAGCAGCCGCAGCACGGGCTAGGCTACGACACTCCTGACGCCTTCTTGCCTTGCACTTCCGCTCCGTCCATGGCGACCACCGCCGCCGCCGCCAACCTCCTCCTCTTCTCAGCCGTGTTGCTCCTCGCCACGCCGTCGAACGCCGCCTCGGCGGCAGCGCCGGCGGTGGCGGCGATGCCGGTGCAGCCGCAGGAGCTGCTGCTCAGCTTCAGGTCCTCCCTGAACGACCCGTCCGGTGCCCTGTCGACGTGGTCGCGCTCCACGCCGTACTGCAACTGGTCGCACGTCACCTGCACCGCCGGCGGCGGCGGCGGCGGCGTCGCGGTCGGCCTGTCGCTGCAGGGCCTCGGACTCTCCGGGGACATCGCCGCCGAGCCGCTGTGCCGGGTGCCGGGGCTGGCGGCGCTCAGCCTCGCGTCGAACACCTTCAACCAGACCGTCCCGCTGCAGCTGTCGCGGTGCGCGTTGCTCGTGTCGCTCAACCTCAGCTCCGCGGGGCTCTGGGGTCCGCTCCCCGACCAGCTCGCCATGCTCGCCTCCCTCGCGTCGCTCGACCTCAGCGGCAACGACATCGAGGGTCAGGTGCCGCCCGGCCTCGCCGCGCTGCGGGGGCTCCAGGTGCTCGACCTCGGCGGCAACCGCCTCTCCGGCGTGCTCCACCCGGCGCTGTTCCGCAACCTCACGAAGCTGCACTTCCTCGACCTGTCCAAGAACCAGTTCCTGGAGTCCGAGCTGCCGCCGGAGCTCGGCGAGATGGCCGGACTCAGGTGGCTCTTCTTGCAGGGGTCAGGGTTCGGCGGCGCGATCCCCGAGACACTTCTCCAGCTGGAGCAGCTTGAGGTTCTTGACCTCTCCATGAACAGCCTCACCGGAGCTCTGCCACCGGCGTTCGGCCACAACTTCCGGAAGCTGCTGTCCCTCGACCTCTCGCAGAATGGCTTCTCCGGGCCGTTCCCCAAGGAGATCGGCAAGTGCGTGATGCTGCAGAGGTTCCAGGTGCAGGGCAACGGGTTCACCGGCGAGCTCCCCGCCGGCCTCTGGTCGCTGCCGGACTTGCGGGTGGTCCGCGCCGAGAGCAACCGCTTCTCCGGCCGGCTCCCCGAGCTGTCCGCGGCGGCGTCCCGGCTCGAGCAGGTGCAGGTCGACAACAACAGCATCTCCGGCGAGATACCCCGGAGCATCGGCATGGTCCGCACCATGTACCGGTTCACCGCCTCCGCGAACCGGCTCGCCGGCGGCCTGCCGGACACCCTCTGCGACTCCCCGGCGATGAGCATCATCAACGTCTCCGGCAACGCGCTCTCCGGCGCGATCCCGGAGCTCACGAGGTGCAGGAGGCTGGTGTCGCTGTCGCTGTCGGGCAACGCGCTCACCGGCCCGATACCGGCGTCCCTCGGCGGCCTGCCGGTGCTGACGTACATTGACGTGTCCAGCAACGGCCTCACCGGCGCCATCCCGGCCGAGCTCCAGGGCCTCAAGCTCGCGCTGCTCAACGTCTCCTACAACCACCTCACCGGCCGCGTCCCGCCGTCGCTGGTCTCCGGCGCCCTCCCCGCCGTGTTCCTCCAGGGCAACCCCGGCCTGTGCGGCCTGCCGGCGGACGGCGGCTGCGACGCGCCGGCCGCGCCGCCGTCGAGAAACCGCCTCGCGCTGGCCGCAACCGTGGCGTCCTTCGTCACCGGCGTGCTGCTGCTGCTGGCTCTCGGAGCGTTCGCCGTCTGCAGGAGGCTGCACGCCGCCGCCAAGCTGGTGCTCTTCTACCCGATCAAGATCACCGCCGACGAGCTGCTCGCCGCACTCCGCGACAAGAACGCCATTGGCAGGGGAGCATTCGGCAAGGTCTACCTGATCGAGCTGCAAGACGGGCAAAACATCGCGGTCAAGAAATTCATATGCTCAAGCAACCAAACATTCGGAGCAGTGAAGAATCACATGAAAACTTTCGCAAAAATCCGGCACAAGAACATTGCCAGATTGCTGGGCTTCTGCTACGACTCCCATGGCGGCGGCGGCGAGGTGAGCGTCATCTACGAGCACCTGAGGATGGGGAGCTTGCAGGATCTGATACGCGCGCCGAAGTTCGCGGTGGGGTGGAACGACAGGTTGAGGATCGCGATCGGAGTAGCAGAAGGGTTGGTGTACCTTCACCGTGATTACACTCCTCGCTTTCTGCATCGCGATCTCAAGTCGAGCAATGTGTTGCTGGGTGATGATTTTGAGCCCAGAGTTACCGGATTTGGGATCGATCGTGTCGTTGGCGAGAAGGCGTATCGATCTTCGTTGGCTTCTGATCTGAATTACAGCTGCTACATCGCTCCAGGTAAGCGTATCATTCATACAGTTCAGTCCATGCAACCAGTTCAGGACAGTGTGGATATAATGCAGTTATGATCTTCAGAAGTACGCCATCCGTTTCAGATTATAAGTCAAAGTCAAACTCTTCAAATTTAATCTAAGTTTTATATAAAAAATAGTAACAAACTTCAAACAGTTTGATTTTGGCCAAAGTTGAAACGACGACTTATAATCTTAAATAGAGGGAGTGTATTTTTTTGAACGAATTCTTCAGAAGTATTTTTGGTACTTAGGCATCATCAGCTCGTTTGTGTTTTCAGTTATACATTTCACCCAGAAGCAGAATTTCATTAGGATAGCTATTTCCACAGCAGAATTGCACTCAAGATTTCATAAAACTCTGGCTCTCTGCGCACTTATCCCACTGAAGTTGTTTGCTCTTTTGCTGAAACCAGAGGTAAACTGCACCAAGAAACCAACGCACCTCATGGACGTGTACAGCTTCGGCGTCATCCTCCTGGAGCTGATCACCGGGAAGCCGGCGGGGCAGCCGGCGTCGGACGACTCGGTGGACATCGTCCGGTGGGTGCGGCGGCGGGTCAACGTGGCCGGCGGCGCGGCGCAGATACTCGACCCCGCCGCCGCCGTCTCCCACGCGGCGCAGCAGGGGATGCAGGCGGCGCTGGAGCTCGCCCTGCTCTGCACCTCGGTGATGCCTGACCAGAGACCGGCCATGGATGAGGTCGTCCGGTCGCTGCAGCTGCTGCATTCGCCGCAGACTCTGCCGCCACCGCCGCCGTTCACCGGAGTTGCTGTGGAACCTTGAGTGGAACAGCTCGTCGAGCCAGGTTGCAGATTACTTCTGCCTCAGGACTTCAGGTTGTGCTTGAGCAGAAACTAGGATGGGAATTGAGATGTTCAGAGTTTCAGACTTGCATTGTTGTACATAGTTTGGGATTCTGATTGACATTGGAGAAGGAATCCACTTAGTATAATAATGAGAAATAAATGTGGGTTTATTCTGCAACCGGAGCTTGGAGTACAGAAGGAACCTCAGAGAAACTAATGGTGCTACAATTCAGAACGTCTACAGCAACAATATATTTCAGAATCCATTTTCTTATTCCATCATAATATGATGAATACAAGCTCAACAAGATGACAGCGATTGTTTCATTACACAAATATATAAGGATGATACGAGTTACATAAGCACAACTAGACAGAGAAAATTGATTTGGAAAACAAACAAATCGCAATAAACTATCGGCTACACGGGCAGTTTTGAAACACCAGCTCTGCCACAACTTATGCACGTTCAGATCACACTTTTGCTATGGTACATAAGCTCAAACTTCTATCATCGTGATCGGTGAAACCCACTATGTCACCAAGCAATCTGGCGACGCATTACTCTTCCATATCCTGTGCACGTTCCGCACGGGACCTTGATCGTGTCTGATAAACTCTCCTTCCTCCACTATTGTTGCTGGCGTTCACTATATCACTCAAGAAGAACCAGCAGATCGTGCTTTGCAAAGGCCCTGGCATGCCACCAACCAAAGGATAGCAAGGCGTAGACCTCCCGGTTTCCATGTCGAACACCATGCCCTGATCCCTACCACGCCCACCAATCCAGTACACACAGTTGCCCTTGAGACCATGCACACCCTCAGCATACATCGACACGGCATTGTTCCGCCCAACAAACACTGAGTAGCCCCCCAAGTCTGTCACAGCATCCCAGCACGGCTGGCGACGGGGGTAGTACCTTAGAACCAAGATTTCATTCTCCGATACACGACGGTGACCGCCTCCGGGCAGCTGCAAAGTCACAGTGCAGCTTGCATTCCTCCAGATCTGGTACAAGTTGCCCTCACACAGCACAATGTTCTTGGCATTGGTAAAAGCAGACACGGTGTTGTATGGCGGAGCGAAACTGGTGGCAGGATCAAACGGGAGGTTCCCCTCTGGCAACAATGGCTCGACCGTCGCCGGCGCATTTAGGTCCGGTTCGAGAGGTCCGATCGCGAACCTCCTATAATTGAAAGGGATGAGTGTCTCTGAACAGACAGTGAGCTTCATCGGCATCATCTGATCCCTTGGTCCAAGATGGTCATAGCAGACCATGCGAAAGTTGTGGTGGAGTTGGGTTCGCCTAGCTCGAATTGCAACTGCGCATTCAGGAAGCGGCACCACTGGTGCCTCTGGTGGTTGTTCTGATGGCCCTGGCTCATCGGCGGGTTTCCGGCGACGGCGCTCGGGGAGGCGGAGCAGGTGCACGTCTCCGCACCTCGTGAGGCAGTAGACCTTACCTTTGTCGTGGTAGACGACGTCGGTGAGCTGGTCGCCGGTGACGAGGCGGACGGGGTCGAGGACGGCCCACCTCCTGGCGCCCGCGGTGACGTAGGCGATCCTGTCGATGTCGCAGATGGCGGCGGCGGCGTAGTCGTCCTTGGCGGGGCTGGGCGCGAACACGACCTTGGAGACCCACCTGCTCTCGTAGATCAGGGGCGGGAGGACGATCTCCGTGGTGGTGATGGGGTTGAAGAGCACGAACGCGCTCTGCCCGCCGTAGAGCGCGATGGACAGGACGAGCCACCCGTTGCTGGACCCGACGCATCTGCCCCCCGTCAGTATCGCCGCGAGGTCGAAGCACCGCCGCGTCGGGAGGGACGCCGCCGAGGGGCACATCCTGGCGTCGGACAGCACGAGGAGCGCCGGCGACGCCGGCGACAGCGCCGACCGCCACGCCGTGCACGCCCCGCGCGCGCTGGCGTAGCACTTGAGGTCCAGCCTGTCGCCGACGCGGCACAGCAGGTCCGGCGGCAGGTCCGCCCAGCGCCTGAACGGCGCCATGGCGGCCGCGCCCGCGTCGGCTGCGTCGGCGATGGGCGGCGCCGGCGGCTGATCCGGGGCGGCTACCCCGCTAGGGTTCGAAGGCTCCAGGCGATTGCCAGGTTGGGGAATTTTATGCTCCTCCTCCTCCTCCTCCATGCTCGAATCCGGTGGCCATCTTGCGGATTACCCCCTTCACTCCCCCCGAATTACCCAAATTTGGCGTCGCGTGGCCGGCTTCACGCCACGCGCGGGCCGAAGGCCCACTCGGCTAAATGGGCCGTCCATGGCGCGCTCGGGATAGACCGCGTCCACGCACCGGGCTCATCTCAGCCGTCCACGTCGTACAAACGGACGTCTGGATGGGGGGGGGGTCTTGGCCCATGGGTGAGCCGTGGACCGGTGATTTTGGCTCTCCGCCACGTTTTTCGCCGAATCGAAAATTTGAGTTTTTCGAGAGGAGCCCGCCCATCGCCGCCGCAAAATTTTTCCCCAATTTCTCCCTCTTCTCCACTTCGCCTATTTGAGCAATCCGCTTCAGAGATTTTGCGGCGGGTTGGATGTCATAGCGCCATCGTGGAGGGGTTCGAAGCGGCAGGATTAGAGGAAGAGGCGAGCAAATGGTGAGTGGTTTTTTGAGATTTGGGGGTCCGTTGTTTTGTCCATTTTTTGATGAACTGTTTGCTGGGTGTTCTGATGCGTCTGTTTGCCTCTGTCGTTGCAGATCTGGTGAGGTTTTTGAATCTGAGCAGGAGGCTGAGGAGGGTAAGTGAGAAGTATGGCAGATTCTTGGGGGGTTTTGGGTAGCGTCATCGCTTTGTTTTGCTGCATCGATGGTTACTTTGGATTTTGCTATTGCAGATTTCCGGGGGATAGGAGGAGAAGGAACTCTAGCTAGGATTCATACGAGTAGAAGTAAGGATCAGAGAGAAGACCAAGGATGTGAGGCTAATATGTGCCCATTTCCCTGATCTTTTGATGCGTTTGGCGTGTTCTTACCCATCGGTGCCTCTTCTGCTACTTGCAGATTACAGCAATATGCCTGAGATGAGGGATAGCAAGAGGACGGCCCTTGGCGAGCTCTCCGGCGGTGGCGGGTTCTTCATCAGGAGGGTGGCCTCGCCGGGTGCTCTTGCGGCGAGGGGCCCCGGGAAGCCGTTGGCTCGGCGGTTCATACGGCCATCGAACAACAAGGAGAACGTGCCCCCGGTTTGGGCTGTGAAGGCCACAGCCACAAAGAGGAGAAGCCCACTTCCTGATTGGTACCCGAGGACGCCGTTGCGTGACATCACGGCGATTGCAAAGGTGATTGAAAGCTTCTTTCAGATTATGATATGGATCATGCAGTATAAATGATGTGACATTGTGAATGTGTGATTTAATCGCCTCGCGGAAAAGGTATGTTCAATTCAGTGGGTATGGTGTCTGTTAAGGACTTGATCATAGTTGCAAAATGGAAAAAATGCAATAAATGTGTGATACGCTGTTTATTTTTTGTCTACATTGATTCTGGAATTGTTTGTTTTGTGCTATTTAAGATTTTAGTACCGCGTCGTTATATATGGTGATTTTTGTCTTAACCAATGGCCATGTGAAGCAATTTGTTATAGTAACCTACTCATAACAAGATATTTTAGTTAAAAAGTGCTAGTTGGAATTTTAAGGCAACTTCTGGTGCCGTTTACCCGCATTGATCGTCTGAGAACATTACGTTGGTTTGTTTCATGTTTAACAATTAACATAGTATTCTGTAATGCATTTTCCTGTTTCCTGGTGCCTATTAAGTGTCCATGATACTTTACTTTGCGTATGTGCATGTAGTAGCTTAGTTTGTGATCTTGAATTATTTTTCTAGTTTCTTGATCTTGTAGTATTATGAGGCCTTGTTCTCTCTTCAAATGAATTCTAAGGCATCCGTTATACCCTCCTTTGGGCAATTGTTGTGTCGAGCGCCTGTGGTCTTGCACTCATGCTTTAGGTCGATAATTTCTTAATGTGTACTGTTGTACATATGTTGATACTGCCATTTTGAGTCAAAACGGCTTCATCTTACTATACCACAATGTTATTACCTGTATGGAAAACATTGAAGTGTTTCTATAGCATTGCTCAAGTCAAGTGATGTATTTTCTAGTCGATCCGATTTCCATATATATATTCTGAATTACTATTTGCTGGGCATGATGTTGGCCTTTCTTAGTTAAGCTCAAAGCACATATCCACCATCTAACCACTGCAAAATTTAAATTAACATTTGTATAGACTTTCAGTGAATCTGAATTTATATGACATGAGTACTGATATTTTTCAGCTGTACTTGCGTTAGTCACATGAATGTTATAGTCTACTTTGCTTTTTCCTTGCTGGTGCAGCTAATCTGACTTAAGACTTTCAGGCTATTCAGAGAAGCCGCTTAAGGATTGCTGCTGCTCAGCAGCGAAGCCAGACACCTGAGCAGAATACTCCCCATTGCACTGAAGTTCGGGACTCCCTTGATGTTGAACCTGGCATCAACTCAACTCAAATTGTTGCGACCCCTGCATCTAGCTTGGCCAAGGACAGTCTGAAGATTTTCTCCTCGCCATCTGAAACATCACTTGTTACCCCGTCCAAGCCGATGGATCCAGTCCTTCTGGATGATATGGAGAAGAAACTGTCCAGCTCAATAGAGCAGATAGAGAAGATGGTGAGGAGAAACCTGAAGAGAACTCCGAAGGCGGCGGCTGCTCAGCCTTCCAAGAGGGCCATCCAGAGGCGCACACTCATGTCGATGCGTTAAGGTGTATGCTCTGCTTCATAGTTGGGAAGGGGAGAAAGTCCATCTCAGACTTCTTCCCTCTTGCCTGCTGCTTCCATATCTGATAACTTAAACTGCTCAATGTGCTGCTGCTATTCTCCTTCTAGGCTTACCATTGCATGGTGCTCTGCTCGAGGACCTAGTTCTAGGATTAACAGCTGGAAGTGCCAGGTGTGCTGTCAATGGCAATGGCTCATTCTTCTGCAGTAGAACAACTGAACTGTAGCTCGTGCCACCGTGTCAGCTGTGCTGTCACTGGCAGTGGTTTATGCTATTGTAGAACCATGTGTTCTACTACTAGTTGCAGTGGACCAAGGAACAACTGAACTCTGTAGAAATACTTGTTTTTGCTGCAATATTGCACGAACCACTACTGTATGCATGTTTTTAGACCTTTGTGTAATTCATGCGTTTCATTGTTATACAAGCTGATGTACTCTATAAAGGTACCGCTTTGTCTTGAATACAAAGATGATGTGTTCTAGGCAATTCAGACACTGTCGTCATATGTGTTTCTGTACTCTTGATGTATGGCGTTCCTTGCAGAATATTTTGAAGTATAGCAAGAATGCACAATACCTGCTGCCAATAGTGAAGCACCAAAACTGCCATGAGGAAGACTGGGGTGTCCCCGAAAAAGAGAGGAAAACTGGAGTGGCTGTGGCTGACAAAGCTTGATCAAACTTGCAAGGCATTTCACCCTAGTTTTTGCTGCCATTCACTTGACTAAATGAAGATTGGTACTACCTGTCACTCATCTGCACATGTGTAGTTGGCTATAGTTGCTTACCGAGCAAAACCTGCCCGACTTCCTGGCTGCATCTATCGTTCAGTTGTTTTTATGACTTCAGAAAACATATGGCGAAAGATAATAACTGTACTGGTATAAAAAAACAATCCATTTGATATCTCATGTAGTAACCACAGAACAACTTGAAAGTAAGACGAGAACAGAATAAAAGCAGCAAAACTCGGTAAACAAAGCTGTTCAGATCAATCTTACCTAATCTTTGTAAAATCTGAAGACTGTGAAGTTATTAGATTTTGTTCAGATTCACATGGTAGACCCTATCTGCTGGCCATTTGGCACTAAAGTGATAATAGTGCTGCCTTATGATGTGCTACATAAGTCAATGTAGTGCATTGGCTATTTCTCTACTACTGGGAACATGACCTTTGATAAAGCATGTATACTTAAACCAGAGCAATGAGTGAAAGGAGAAACAAAAACAAAAACAAAACATCGGGTGAAATATCGAGGAGGATAAACAAATCAGTAGGCAAAAAATATATCTTGATTTCATAATAGTACAAAGTAAAATTTAGTTCTTGAAGAGCTATAGTAGACCCTACATTGATCTTTGTATTTGCCCAATGAAAATTAAAAATAATTAAATGGTATAATGCTATATTAGACTTCTATAGCCATTGGTCAATATAGTTAAATGGTAACTGGGGAGAATAAAGATGAAACGAGATAAAAAAAAAGGAGCTTCTTTGGTTAAAGCAAAAACCAGGTCCAGGCGCCAAAAGCCTCTGAATCACTTTCGCTTTTTCGAAACAAGTACGCAATGTGCACCTTCGTCTTTATCATATAATTATCACAGCTGATAGAAACATTTCTGGCTTCAGAGAAGAGTTTTTGCTTACGTTTGTCTACGATATTTGGAGAGCAAGATTGACATGAGACTACCGTCAGCTACCAACAGTTGTACATTGCTGAATACTGCAGGGCACAAAAACTGTAAGATCGTTCTTTTTTAAAACGAAACGCACAAGGAAAGTGAGGCCTAAGTGCCTAATTCAGTAAAAATGATGGCCATATATTTTCTGGGTTTATATGTTAAAACTTCAGAACACAAAATTACAGCTTTAATCAAGCGGCAAACACTTTCAGTGCCAGGCTTAAACAGCGGCGAACCGCGAGCACCATTTTCAGAGTTACCAAATATTTGTTCTGAATGATCCTGCAATTTCCAGCCAAGTTGTTATCATGATATGCTGTTGGCAGAATATCACCTCAACTCGGTACAATGGGTACACTCCACTACTTATTCAGAAGGGGGAGAGACAAGTAACAAATCGATAAAACAATACTAAGATCCGCTAAAACAAAGCGATATCCCAAAGGAATAACTAAAAAACTTAATAAAATTGATATGGCTGCTATAGACGGTCCAATGCTAAATAAGGGAATATCCCCTCGGGATGGCAAGATATCCTCTTTAAAAAGTAGTTTAGTTCCATCTGCTATAGCTTGAAGCAGTCCCGGGGGCCAGCATATTCAGGACCAATACGTTGTTGTATCGATGCGAATATTTCTCTTTCTAACCACACAATTACGAGTACTTCTATTGTGATTCCCAGTAAGAGGGTCAAAATGGGTAGAATCCATATCAGTCCATAGACTTCTTTTAATAATTCCAAGTTCGAAAAAGAATTGATAGCTTCTACCTGTACCCTGTCTATTATTATTTCAACGATCAACTTCTCCCATAATGATATCTATACTACCTAATATCGTCATGATATCAGCCAATTTCATTTTTTTTGACTAGCTGAGGAAGAATTTGCAAATTAATAAAACCGGGTGGACGAATTTTCCATCTCCAGGGGAAAAGACTATCATCTCCTACCAGATAAATTCCTAATTCACCTTTTGGGGCTTCCACTCTTGCATAAAGCTCTTGTTTTGACAATTCAAAATTGGGTGAAGGTTTTTTACCAAGAAATCGATATTCAAAATCATTCCCTTCGGAATTCTTTGCTTTCTTAAAGCGTCGGACTTCTAAATTCTCATAAGGGCCCCCAGGAATTTTTTCTACAGCCTGTTGAATAATTTTGATTGATTCCCTCATTTCATCGATTCGTACTAAATAGCGTGCTAATGAATCCCCTTCTTTTTGCCATTGGACTTTCCAATCGAATTGATTGTAAGACTCGTAAAGATCAACTTTACGAAGATCCCATTGTATTCCAGAAGCTCGTAACATGGGGCCCGATAAGCCCCAATTTACAGCTTCTTCTCCGCTAATAAAACCAACTCCCTCAACTCGTTCCAAAAAAATGGGATTCTGTGTAATAAGTTGTTGATATTCAATAACTCGTAAAAAATAATCACAGAAATCTAAACATTTATCGATCCATCCATAAGGCAGATCGGCAGCAACTCCTCCGATGCGAAAGTAATTATGCATCATTCGCATACTTGTAGCAGCTTCAAATAGATCATATATTAATTCTCTCTCTCTAAAAATATATAAAAAAGGAGTCTGCGCACCGAGATCTGCCATAAAAGGTCCAAGCCATAACAAGTGAGAAGCTATACGGCTCAATTCTAACATAATTATCCTAATATAGCTGGCTCTTTGGGGTATTTGAATATTCTCCAAGAATTCTGGTGCATTTACCGTTATTGCTTCTGTAAACATAGTAGCTAAATAATCCCAACGTGTTACATAAGGTAAGTATTGTATAATAGTTCGGTTTTCCGCGATTTTTTCCATTCCTCTGTGTAAATAGCCTAATATGGATTCACAATCAATAACATCTTCACCATCGAGAGTAACGATCAGTCGAAGAACACCATGCATTGATGGGTGCTGAGGGCCCATATTGACTATCATGAGATCTTTTCTTGTAAGCGGTAGACTCATATCCTTTATTCCTTAATTCATTATTCCATGAAAATGGATTATTCCATGAATTCCTCAAAACGAGGCTCATCAAAATGCAAAATCTAAGACTACTATAAGACTACTAATAAAATAAGAAAAAAAATTCGAACGATGAAATTACCGCTCCCTAATATCCAACTGACTGATTAATTTCTTATAACGTACTCTATTTTTCTTTGCCAAATAAGCCAGCAAACGTTGACGTTTTCCCAAAAGTCTTCGGAGACCTCTTTCCGATGAAAAATCTTTTTTTGTGTAATTCCAAATGTGAAGCAAGTCTCCGTATCTTATTGGTGAAACTGAATACTTGAAATTCAACAGAACCCCAGTTTTCTTCTTTTTCTTCTTTAACCATAAATCCAAAAATTTTTCTACCTCCTTTCTTTTTCATGTATTTTTCTGATCAGGAAAAATAAAAAATTATGTCAGTTATTTTGAAGTTATTCTAATCTCGTACACACAAAAATTTGCAATTATTCATCTACTACTGGAATTTGGATTTATTTTATCGATGCAAATTGGATTTGGATAGAAGGGTACATTCTTTTATTTTAGATAGAAGAAAAGTTTCTTCTATCTAAAATAAAAGAATTTTGCTGATTTATTTATTGCTATATCCAATTTATGGAATTGATACACCGTTTAATTGATATCATTTAGCAAAATGAAACATAGCATATGCATCCATCTTTCGGCTCAAGAATTTCACGGGATAGAGATATGGTATAAGAAATAGGCTATTAAGTAACTCTAAATGAATTATGGATATATCTGTATCCTTAACATACTGAAACAACTGCCATTATTCGTATCAAACCAATAGCGATTCATACAAGTTAAATCTTCTAATCAATGGTGGGCCAATAATGAATTTTTTTGCATATGTATTAAGACGTTTGGCTTGATTTCGAAATTGTCCAGAGTTTTTTATGTAGTTTTCATTGCAAAATGATGGATCTCCTTCCGTAACTTTCTAATTACGAGTACGAGAATTGAAAGACATGAAAATTCTCAATTCTCTACGGCGTCTAGGAGATAGATAGAATATTTTCAGGAACAAGAAAACCAGAAGAATCTTTCTCTCTATTCACTACCATTCCGCGTCTTCGACTTCTATTAGTTTCTTTTCTTCTTTAATGCAATAGCTATAGTTTGATATAGAATCCATTTCTCAAAGTAATGGAAACCTTTCTCTTATAGGAAATGGTTCGAAAATCGCTATTCCACCTTTTACGTATCGTGAAAAGTGATACCTGTGAAGATCGTGCATTTCAATCACATTCAGATCCGTTTTTTGAGTCCATGATATAACCAAATTAGATGGATCTTCCACCCGTTTAGCTAAGAAAGAATAGATGCAGAGGTGGATAATAGATCGATATGAAGATCATGAGCTGCCCCATAATGAAACCACCAGGAGTCGCGAATATCTCCTTCTTCCCTAATCCAAGATTGGAGAAAGAAGATCTAAGAGGGACCCATGGAGAATGTGGTCAGAAACCCATAATAGAGTCCGACCGCAACGACCGAATTAATTATCCTCATCGAGAAACTTAGACTACTAAGTAGAAAAGATTTGAAAATCATGGCATGGGTCTCCTTTTTTTCTTTCTTTAGAGTTTTCTATATGCACAATTTCTCGATGTTTCGATGAGAATTTCTTGACTTTCCATATATAGAAAGAGATAGACTATAAATGACATCTCTTATGTCAATTAGACCAAAGGGATGGATATTAAATGATAGGAAGTGCTAGGAAGTGAAATAGAATGAAATAGAGCCACTCTGGGCTTACCTATGAAATGAGGCATGGAACGGAGCCACTACGAAGAAATTCCGGGAGTTACGAAAGAAGCTTCGGACTCATATTGTTCATGGGTTGAGAGCGGGAGTTGAACTCTAGGAGGTCGAATCCCCCTTATTCCTCAGTAGCTCAGTGGTAGAGCGGTCGGCTGTTAATTGACTGGTCGTAGGTTCGAATCCTACTTGGGGAGATTTGATTCATTCTTTAATGTAAGAATAAAGAATTGAATCAAAGGGCTTGCTTTGACCCTTAGGAGTAGGTAACCCGTTCGCTATCCTTGTTTCTATTGCATTTTATCTCATCGTATCACATTCTGTTCTACGATTCCACTTCGACAAAAGGATAGAATCCAAAAAATGCATTGATCATTACATGGAATTCTATTAAGATATTATATGAAAGTCGAATTTCTTCCACTCTCATTTATCACAAAAAAAATGTGATACTACAGATAAACCTTCCTTTTAGTTCTGAAACATGAAAGAAAAAGACATGAATCCAAATGCAGATCACCCTGAAAACTAAATAACTCGACAGGTTACAGGAGAGCAGCACAAACACATGCAGTTTCGTGAGAAAAATCCCAGGAATCTTCACCAAGACTCCTGTTCTTATTCAAACCCAAAAACACACACAAAAAAAAAAGTAACCCCACCATCTCATCTTTATTCCCCCATAATTCCGAATCCATCGAAACTGGCGCGATCACTCGATCTCACTCACCAACCTTTTCCATTTTACACTTGACCTTAGTAAGCCGTACTCTTGTGGGCTCACTGATAGCTTCAAGCTTCTGCAAAGATTTTGCTTAGAAACAGCAAAGACAAAAAACCATTGCGTGGTGGCTCGTCGTACTAGCTGATGGCGCCACCTTTGCATGGCTTCCCTTGCCGGTGACGGGAAAAGCCGACCGGTGAACCGCCCTGACGGCGAGCCGGAGACGACGGTGAGCCGGGTCATGGCGTGTCCGTACGTGTTCCGTGCACAGGCGCCGCCGGCGATGGCCAAGGAGGCAATGGCGACACCGACACGGCCGCAGGTCAGGGAGACGTGGCCGGCGGGTGGCGGCGGCGGCGGCGGTGGTTGGATGGGCGTTGGCTCCGGCGAGAGGGTGGCGAGCGCGTACGACCTCGTGGAGCAGATGCACTACCTGTACGTGCGCGTCGTCAGGGCGCGCGGGCTCACGGCGGCGGCGAGCACGGTCGCCGGCGGCGGCGGGTGCAACCCGTACGTGGAGGTGCGGCTCGGGAACTACCGGGGCACAACGCGGCACCACGAGCGGAAGGCGGCGCCGGAGTGGAACCAGGTGTTCGCCTTCTCGCGGGAGCGCGTCCAGGCCTCGGTGCTCGAGGTGTTCGTCAGGGACAAGGACGCCGTGGCGGCGGTGGCGCGAGACGGCTACGTTGGAAGGGTCGCGTTCGATGTCGGCGAGGCGCCCGTGCGCGTGCCGCCGGACAGCCCGCTCGCGCCGCAGTGGTACCGCCTCGAGGACGTCGGCGGCGGAGGCGGCAGGGCGGTGCAGGGAGAGGTCATGCTCGCGGTGTGGGTCGGCACGCAGGCCGACGAGGCGTTCGCGGACGCGTGGCACGCCGGCGCGGCGTCGGTGCGCGGAGGCGGCGACGGCGTGGCGGCCGTGCAGAGCACGCGGTCCAAGGTGTACGTGACGCCGAAGCTGTGGTACCTCCGGATAAGCGTGCTCGAGGCGCAGGACGTCGTCCCGGGCGCCGTCGCCGGCGCAGGCGGCGACAAGGGACGGCACGGCGAGGCCTTCGTCGTCGTCAAGGTGCAAGTCGGCGGCGTGACGCTCCGGACCAAGCCGTGCTGCCGCCCGACGAGCCCATCGTGGAACGAGGAGCTGGTGTTCGTCGTGGCGGAGCCGTTCGACGAGCCGGCGGTGCTCGTCATCGAGGCCCGGGCGGCGCACCCGGGCAAGGACGAGATCGTCAGCCGCGCCGTGCTGCCGCTCACCCTCTTCGAGAGGCGCCTCGACCGGCGCGGCGCGGCCGCGGCCACGCACACGCAGTCGCAGTGGTTCAGCCTGGAGCCGTTCGTGCACCGGCCGCGACACTCGCCGGAGGAGCCCGCCTTCGCCGGCCGCGTGCACCTCCGGGCGTGCCTCGACGGCGCCTACCACGTCATGGACGAGCCCGCCATGTACGCCAGCGACACGCGCCCCACGGCGAGGCAGCTGTGGCGCCCGCCCATCGGCGTGCTCGAGGTCGGCGTCCTCGGCGCGCAGGGCCTCCCCCCGATGAAGACCGCCGCCGACGGCGGCCGGGGCACCACCGACGCGTACTGCGTCGCCAAGTACGGCCACAAGTGGGTGCGCACCCGCACCGTCGTCGACTCCTCCACCCCGCGGTGGAACGAGCAGTACACCTGGGAGGTCTACGACCCGTGCACGGTGCTCACGCTCGCCGTGTTCGACAACTGCAACCTCGGCAATGGCGGCGGCGGCGGCAAGGACCAGAGGATCGGCAAGGTGAGGATACGCCTCTCGACGCTGGAGATGGACAGGGTGTACACCAACGCGCACCGGCTCGTGGTGCTGCACCCGTCGGGGTTGCGCAAGAACGGCGACGTCTGCCTCGCCGTGCGCCTCACCTGCCTGTCCCTCGCCAGCGTCTTGCGCCTCTACGGCGAGCCGCTCCTCCCCGGGGCGCACTACGTCCACCCCTTCGCCGTCGCGCAGCTCGACGGCCTCAGGCGGCAGGCGGTGGGCGTCGTGGCGGCGCGGCTGGGCCGCGCCGAGCCGCCGCTGCGGCGGGAGGTCGTGGAGTACATGCTCGACGCCGGCTCCCACCTGTGGAGCATCCGGCGGAGCAGGGCCAACTTCCTCCGCGCCACGGCGCTGCTCTCCGGCGCCGCCGGCGCGGCGCGGTGGCTCGCCGACGTGTGCCACTGGAGGAGCCCCGCGACGACGATCCTCGCGCACCTCCTGCTCGTCACCTTCGCCTGCTTCCCGGAGCTCATCCTGCCGACCGCGTTCCTCTACGCGTCCGTGGCCGGCGCCTGGAGCTATCGGCGGCGGCCGCGCCGCCCGCCGCAGGCGGACGCGGGGCTGTCGTGCGCCGAGGCGGCCGGCGCCGACGAGTTCGACGAGGAGGCGGACACGTTCCCGACGTCGAGGCCCGACGGCGTGGTGCGCGCGCGGTACGACCGGCTGCGGACGGTGGCCGGGAGGATCCAGGCGGTGGTCAGCGACGTGGCGACGCAGGGGGAGCGGGTGCGGTCGCTGCTGGCGTGGAGGGACCCGAGGGCGACGGCGGTGTTCACGGCGGCCTGCCTCGCCGCCGCCGTCGTGGCGTACGCCACGCCGCCCCGGGTGGTGGCGCTCGTCGCCGGGCTGTACCTGCTCCGCCACCCGCGGTTCCGGAGCCGGATGCCGTCGGCCGCCGGCAACTTCTTCAAGAGGCTGCCGTCCCGCGCCGATACCATGCTATAGTATATGATGCGTCGTTTCTTGTGTCTTATGATGTTATAAAACTTTTTTTTTCTTGTAATTCATCGCCAATGATGCTTGCACATTCATATACCCAGATAAAAGTCTTCAAAATCGCAAACAATACAATTTAGCTTAAATTATTGAACTGAAAATCCGAACTGAGGACGGGTTTTTGGAGTTAGCTCACCCTCACGAGATCGCGACCCTTTGTCCCGCCCATTGTAGCACGTGTGTCGCCCAGGGCATAAGGGGCATGATGACTTGGCCTCATCCTCTCCTTCCTCCGGCTTAACACCGGCGGTCTGTTTAGGGTTCCAAACTCATAGTGGCAACTAAACACGAGGGTTGCGCTCGTTGCGAGACTTAACCCAACACCTTACGGCACGAGCTGACGACAGCCATGCACCACCTGTGTTCGCGTTCCCGAGGGCACCCCTCTCTTTCAAGAGGATTCACGGCATGTCAAGCCCTGGTAAGGTTCTTCGCTTTGCATTGAATTAAACCACATGCTCCACCGCTTGTGCGGCCCCCCGTCAATTCCTTTGAGTTTCATTCTTGCGAACGTACTCCCCAGGTGGGATACTTAACGCGTTAGCTACAGCACTGCACGGGTCGAGTCGCACAGCACCTAGTATCCATCGTTTACGGCTAGGACTACTGGGGTCTCTAATCCCATTTGCTCCCCTAGCTTTCATCTCTCAGTGTCAGTGTCGGCCCAGCAGAGTGCTTTCGCCGTTGGTGTTCTTTCCGATCTCAATGCATTTCACCGCTCCACCGGAAATTCCCTCTGCCCCTACCGTACTCCAGCTTGGTAGTTTCCACCGCCTGTCCAGGGTTGAGCCCTGGGATTTGACGGCGGACTTGAAAAGCCACCTACAGACGCACTCCTACTTGATAAAAGGATCTTGTGACTATTAGTAGAAATGATCTTTCCCTCGCGTTCGGCTATAATAGAAACCCTCGAATCTAGAGCTGTTTGGCGTTCCAATCCAGTTCCAACAATGCACTTCTCGGACCGAGAAAGCGGAACTGCTTGGCGCTGTATATTAGAACTCATTAAAGCTCGATTCGCATCATTATGCTCAATAAAAGGAATGAGAGAACCCCCAATAGAAAAATATTGGAAAGGAAAAATACTTCTAACATGAATCTGTTCCCATGCAATAGTCAGGAATTCTTGATGGTATCTAGCTGGAACAACATGTTCTTCCTGAATACCCCGATTCAAGGACAAAGAATTTCCTGCTGCTATCATATAATACTCATCTCTATTTGGTGATAAATAAACCACCTGTCTCTCTTTTTTTTTCTTTGCTTTCTCAGATATTTCATAAAATGGACTCTCTACGGATCCCTACCAATGATCAATTCTCGCATGAATAGCTAAAGATCCAGTAAGTCCAACGTTGATTCCTTCGGACGTGTCAATTGGACAAATACGCCCATAGTGACTCGGATGGATATCTCGGCTCCGAAAACTTGCAGTTCTCCCCGTCAATCCTCCAGGACCCAAACAACTCACTTTTCGCCCATGAACCGTTTGTGTCAATGGATTGGTTTGATCAAAAACTTGAGATAAGGGATATGTACCAAAGAAGGTCTCGTAAGTAGTTATTAATAAAAACGAAATATTGTCTAGGAAATTTAAGTTTTTCTGAATAACCCTCGAATTTTTCCATTTGTATTTCTACTTGAATCAGAGAGAGAGAAATATTTCTCGGTTTATCAAATGGTGATACATAGTACAATATGGTCAGAACAGGGTGTTGCATTTTTTAATACAAACCCCTGGGGAAGAAAAGGAGTCTAATCCATGGATCTTTTTCCGCTCCTTTTCTATCCAATTTGTTTATGTTTGTTCTAATTACAAAAGAGAACAAATCCTTTATTTTTGCAGGCTAATTGCTCTTTTGACTTTGGGATACAGTCTCTTTATCAATATACTGCTTCTTTTACACATTCAATCCATAACATCCTTTTCAATCCAAAATCAAGAATAATTAGGATTTCTAAAAAAAAAAGAAAAAATCAAAGGTCTACTCATAGGAAAACCAGCTTTTCCCTACATCAGGCACTAATCTATTTTTAACGTCTAATTAGATCAGGGAGTTCTTCCAATTAAGAAGTTAAGCTCGTTGCTTTTTGTTTTACCAGAATTGGAGCCAGGCTCTATCCATTTATTCATTAGACCCAGAAAATCAGAATTTTTTATTCCATTCCAAAAATCCAAAATAAGAAATTGATTTTATTACGACATGCTATTTTTTCCATTCATTACCCTTGAGGATCAGTCGCGGTCTTATAGACTCTACCAAGAGTCTGGACGAATTTTTTGCTTCATCCAAATGTGTAAAAGATCATAGTCGCACTTAAAAGCCGAGTACTCTACCATTGAGTTAGCAACCCAGATAAACTAGGATATTAGATACGATCGAAATCCAAAAATCAATGGAATTACACCGCACACCCCTGTCAAAATCTTAAAATAGCAAGACATTAAAAGAAAGATTTTATCACCATTGAAAACACTCAGATACCAAAAGGAACGGGTCTGGTTAAATTTCACTAAGGTTAAAAGTGGCACCAATCACGATCGTAAAATTGTCATTTTTTTAGCATTTTTATTTAAATAAATAAATAAATCTTGTATGAGAGTACAAACAAGAGGGACAACCCTACCATTTGAGCAAAGTGTAGGCAAAAAACCTAATAGGGAGTGAGGATAAAGAGACTTATCCATCTACAAATTCTAGATGTTCAATGGACCTTTGTCAATGGAAATACAATGGTAAGAAAAAAATTAGATAGAAAAACTCAAAAAAATAAAGGCTTATGTTGGATTGGCACGACATAAATCCAGTCAAAAATAGGATTAAGAAAGAGGCAAATTATTTCTAAATAGTTAGACAACAAGGGATACTAGTGAGCCTCTCCTAGTTTTTTATTCATTTAGTTCTTCAATTAACTCAAAGTTCTTTCTTTTTCTTTAAAGAATTCCGCCTTCCTTAAAATATCAGAAACTGTTCTTGTAGGTTGAGCACCTTTTTCAAGGAAATAGAGAATAGCTGGAACATTTAAACAAGTTTGATTCTTTATCGGATCATAAAAACCTACTTTTCGAAGATCTCTTCCTTCTCTTCGAGATCGAACATCAATTGCAACGATTCGATAGACAGCTTATTGGGATAGATGTAGATAAACATAGATTCGAACATTAATTTCTGTACAGAAAAAACAAATTTCATTTATACTCATGACTCAAGTTGACTAATTTTGATTGACAGACTTGAAAGAAAAAAAATCCTTTGAAATTTTTTGAGTCGTCTCTAAACTCTTTTCTTTGCCTCATCTCGAACAAATTCACTTTTATTCCTTATTCCGGTCCAATTCTATTGTTGAGACAGTTAAAAATCGTGTTTACTTGTTCGGGAATCCTTTATCTTTGATTTGTGAAATCCTTGGGTTTAAACATTACTTCGGGAATTCTTATTCTTTTTTCTTTCAAAAGAGTAGCAACATACCCTTTTTTCTTATTTCCTTCGATAAAGCATTTCCCTCTTCTATAGAAATCGAATATGAGTGATTGATTCTGATAGACTTTCAATCAAAAGAGTTTTCCCATATCTTCCAAAATTGGACTTTCTTCTTATTTTAACCTTTTGATTTCTATATTATTTCGATTTCTATATTAAGGGTAGAATGACAAAGTTGGCCTAATTTATTAGTTTTCACTAACCCTAGATTCTTTCCCTTGATAAAAAATAAATTATGTCCTCTCGAGCTCCATCATGTACTATTTACTTAGCTTACTTACAAACAACCCAGCGAAAATTCGGTTCGGGACGAATATAAGAGTTTTCCCATACAAAGTAATATTCTATTGACACTAGTCTTCACTCTTGTGGTTTCCTCGGTTTCTGTTTTCTTATTCGGGATCTTGCTTTTCATGGTTCTCATATCTGCAACTCGCGATTTTCGCGAGAGAACCAAATCCAAGTTGGTGAAGATCATGATTTGGGCTGGCATAGTAGTGATTACCTTTGCAATTGCGGTTCGAATCTATCCGATCTTTATCTTTTTGCTCAAAGAACGAATAAAACCCCTTGTCGAAGCCCTTTATGATAAGCTTCCCTGGATCTGGGAAGTTTCTCTTTCACGGTATTGGGATCGTTTGATCGATTTCCTTGATCGCTACTTATGGGCGTGCGCTCAAAGGATACAAACAGGGATTCGCAAACAAAAAGGGGAATTCGTAGTCACTTTTTCCTATCGCGTAAAAAAAGGCTTTACGCGAGAGCAATAGAGGTTGGGATACATCTATCTCTTCTGAGTAACCTCTTTTGGATTCTTAAGACCACCCTTGTAGTAGGATACCGTCTGCTTTGGGTTCTTTATTATATTATCTCCTTCGAGGGATTTTTAGGATCGTTTAGGCTATATTTAGTCTATTTTGGCTATGGAATATATGACAAAGGTGGAGTCTTGGAGTATTTTGATCGATCGGTCATATAGGCCTGAGTCAGACATCAAATAGCTTCGATTTGCATTATCCGTAGGACACCTTATATGTTTCAAAATCAAAAAGATGTACAATCCAATTTCTCGATTCAATAGAAGCCCAAAGAGGTGCATATGGTACCCAAATAAGGATAGGATAGATATGTCAAAAGTAGGTCTGATTACACCTATTCCTAATCCTAAATAGAATGTAAGGACGTGGGGATTTCTATGTAAACAGAGTATCCTATTTCCATAGGCTCGAATGACCCCTTCTCATAATAAGAATGTTCACGGTCTGGTCCGGTATGGAATGAACTTATAATCTGATGATCGAGTCGATTCCATGATTATAAGTTCATTACCCTAGCGCCCATTCCCATTTTGGGCGGAATATATCTACTAATTCTTTTATTCCAGTTAGTAAGAGGGATCTTGAACTAAGAAATAGACCTAGCAGCTAAAAGAGGGTATCCTGAGCAATTGCAAGAATGGGGTTCAATTATATTCCTGGTATAGTAGATGCTATCACACATACATTCATACTCAATTCGATGGAATTGTTTGATCTTAAAGGGGATCTTCTATAATTTCGCACATAAGGGGTTATTTCTTAGTTTCGTCCAGTCATTA